GGGCCGTCTATATACGCAAGACAATATATATCAGGTCTTACCCCTATAGAATATCCCAATAGCACATTCTAAAATTGCCGAAGACGATCTTCTATGTTTATAAGACCTCTGCAATACCTTCTATACATACAGATGATCTCTAGAAGAACAACTGATAGCCCTTGTAGAAGTTCTATGCAGACCCCAAAAGAAGTTATCAATAAGGCATTCTTAATATTTAAGAAGAAGGTTTTCGTTCCGACCAGAACAACTGCCTCTGAGATAATGACGGTTCTTTGAGATAAAGCCCGGTTTGATCCATCTTCGTTGAGATAAGGGTCGGTCAGAACCATTGCCTTTGATGTAAGGATCGGTCAGGACCATTGTTTCTGAGATAAGGGCCGATAAGAACCATTGTCTCTGAGGTAAGGGTCTTAGATAATGACGTATCAGGAACATTGTCTTTGAGATAAGGCCCGGTTTGGACCACCATCTTTGAGATAAGGGCTAGTCGGGACAATTGTCTCTGAGATAAGGGCCGGTCAGGACCATAGTCTCTGAGGTAAGGGCCGGTTGGGACCATTGTAGCTATTGTTGGGCCTGTGGTCAGGACAATTATCCCTGAGATTAGGGCCTGTGGTAAGGACTATTGTCTCCGAGATAAAGACATGTCGTCAGGACCATTATCTCTGATGTAAGGGCCTATGATCAGGACCATTATCTCTGATATTAGGGCCTGTGGTGAGGACCATTGTAGCTGAGATAAGGGCCGATGGTCAGGACCTTGGTCTTTGAATATATTCCTTAATAATATCCTTGAGATAAGGAAGGGTCAAGAGCACTGCCTTCGAGATTAGGGCCGGTGTTAAAAACCATTGTCTTTTAGATAATATTCTTAAGATAAAACAGGGTTTGAACCATCATATTTGAGATAAGGCGCACTCGGGACAATTTTCTCTCAGCTAAGGCCTTTGTTTCTTAGATAAGGGCCAGTTAGGATCATATGAGACAGGCGCCGTTTGAAACACTTGTCTTTTATATAAGGTCCGGTCTGGTAAATTTTTTCCTAGCTAAGGTCTCTTATGTAAGGCCCAATCAGAATAATTTTCTTAAGTCTGAAAACTGACTTGTAATCTATGAAATTTCCTCAAGGGCTCATTACCCCCTTCTCTATAAACTACAGGTGTGTATGTAAAGTGTGTATGTGCACCATACATAAAATGATTTTATTTACCAAAAATTTAAAGGTTTGTTTATTGAGTGGAAAAACGATATACATGGTAATTTGTAAACAAACCAGGAAACATCAGATATTGGCAACCACCGGGAAAGAGTGGGAAGAAATACAAAATGAAAATCTGTAGTCATGCAGATAAATACAATTGTAGCCAAAAATCAAAATACATTCAGAATTAAATCGAAAAACAATTTTCATTTATTTATAAAGAAAAAAGTTTACAGTTTCCCCAAAAAATCAAAATTAATTACTTTTCCGCCAGTTCCATCACCCCTCAACCCCAGTGCCTGCCACTCCACTTAAAGGCCATAAAGTAATCAAAGTTTGGGGTAAATAAAAAAAATCGAAACGAGAACAAAAATCATTTGCCACCCCACCAACATCAGCAAGAAAGCAACAACAACAACATGAATGATCTTGCCTATGGTTGCAGTTTTTTTCATTGCTCGAAAACGAGTCCATGAATTGTGGTGGCCAAAAATTCTAATGGGGTTGCCCATTATTCCCGTTCTGTTTCTTTCTTCCTTTCCTTTTTTATGTTTGATGGCCTCATGTTTCACACTTAACTCCTATAAGTGCTCGCTCATTATGAGGGGAGTTTTGATTATTTTGTTCGTTCGTTCGGTTTTTATTGTTTTATTGAAGTACCTCTTTAGCAGATGTAGAGTCATGATATTTTTTTCTGCTTTCTATAATATAAATAAAAACAGTTTCAATATAAACACACAAATTATTTTCAAATAAACAAATAAAATTGAATACCAAAAAGGTTTTTAAAAATTTAATTTGAAAATCGCAGAAAATCAGGAAAAAAATAGCAAACGCAGATTATTGGTGAAAACTGTTTCGCAGATTTTTAGATTTGAAAGGCTTATTGAAAAAAATTCTATCTATATAATACCTCAATAGATACCTTGATATATATATTAGACCTCTGGGAAATTATTATGGATTTTCCAAGAAAAGGTGTTACTTGGAAATGAAGGCTGGTCAGGAGCATTGTCTCAAAGATAAGAGCCGCTGGTCAGGACCATTTCCTCTGAGATAATGTCCATTGTCTCTGAATTAATAGAAGTTCGGGACAATTGTCTCTGTCGAGATGACGTTCAGAAGACGTCCAGAATGGTTCTATATACTAATTATTTTTTATGGTCGAAGTTGAATGGTATTGATCTAGAAAATGATGGCGGAACGTGTTATATCTCGAAGAGTTGGTCCCTTACAAATAATTTAATTAGAAATTTAATTTAAAAAAAAACTCCACCTGAACACTAGAAAGTAATTCCATTGACCTCCTTCAAGCAACGTAGCATACAAAGCCTATAATGGTTCTCCTATCGGCTGAAAACCTCTATAATGGTCTCCATATTCCAGAACGCCTCAATAAGTGTTATAATATCTTAAAAATACCTCTATAAAAGTTCTACTATCTGTACAAGGTCTCTAGAAGAGATCTTCTATATATAGCAGATCTCTTAAAATATCATTTTTCTATAGAAGGCCTCTATAGGGGCCTTCCACATATATAGCAGATCTCTTGTAATACCATTTTCCTATCCAAGGCCTTTATAAGGAGGATAAAAGACCTCCTAAATAATCTTCTGTCGGAATAAATTTAGTGAAAAAGTATTCAAATATTCTCCTATCTATAAAAGACTTCGATAAGGGATCTCATATCTCTAGAAGATATTTTTAGGGTTTCTAATTTCTCTGGAACATCTCTAAAAGTGTTCACCTATGCCTAGAAGATCTCTATAAAGGTTCTCCTATCTGTTGTGAAACTCTATAAGGGGTCTTCTTATTCAAGAAGACCCATATAAGTGTTCTCCTATGGCTAGAAAATCTCCATATAGGTTATACTATATTTTGGGAACCTCTATAGAACGTCTACTTATTCTAGAAAATCTCTATAAGTGTTATTCTATCTAAAGAATACCTCTATTAAAGCTATCCTATATATACAAAGTGTCTATAAGAGATCTTTTCAAAGACCATTTTTCTATAAAAGGCCTCTATAGAGGTCTTTTATCTATAGCATATCTATAAATATTCTCCTATCTATAGAAGACATCGATAAGAGTTCTCATATCTCTAGAAGATCTTTTTAGGGATTCTAATTTCTCTGGAACACCTCTATAAGTGTTCTCCTTGTCCAGAAGATATCTATAAAGGTTCTACTATTTGTTGGAAACCTCTATAAGGGGTCTCCTTATTCTAGAAGACCTCTATAAGTGTTCTCCTATGCCTAGAAGATATATATAATGGTTCTACTATCTGTTGGGAACCTCTATAAGGGGTCTCCTTATTCTAGAATACCCATATAAGTGTTCTCCTATGCCTAGAAGATCTCTATAAAGGTCATACTATATGTTGGAAACCTCTACAAGGGGTCTCCTTATTCTAGAAGACCTCTATAAATAGTAGTCTATCTTAGGAAAACCTCTATTAAAGTTCTCCTATCTATGCAAGGCCTATATAAGAGATCTTCTATCTTTAGTTGATCTCTGGAAAGACAATTTTTCTATAGCGGTTTTCTATCTATAGCATATCTCTTGAAATACCATTTTCCTATCCAAGACCTCTATAAGGAATATAAAAGACCTCTTAAATAATCTTCTGTCGGCCTTCAGTCCTCTATAAGGGCCTTCTTCCAATAGATGGCCTTTTGGAAAAAATCTATAGGAATAAATTTAGTGGAAAAGACCTCTACAATTGTTCTCCTATTTCTATAATACCTCTCTACAAGGCTTCTTCTATCTCTACATGACCTATATAAGAAAAAAAAATAATATTTGTGACCTCTTGAAATGCCGTATTACTAACCTGGACTTTCACAGACTTTCTGTCTATCTAAAATAAATTGACATGTGTTGTTTATTATTTTCAAAACAAAAATTAACAACAATTCAAAATTATTTGTTTTTATTAAACCCCCCAATTTCGTTTTTCATTTCTTTTATTTACAGATCAATAACATTCGAATAAATACAACAACATTTTTTTAATACAAAACAAAACGTGACACAAGGAAATCAAGCTGTCACAAACAGTCCGACAGTCAACGAAGCCACATCCGTAGCAAATAATATTAACGTGAACAAAAAAACACAACAAAATATAATCCTAGCTACCTTTTGTTGGCATCTAACGGCGGTACGGTATAACACCTGCAATTGTGAACTGAAGTGAAGTGACATAAAACAGAAAAATTAATACTTCCCAAAACTATCAAAAACATTTGTGGCACTCACGAACTTGCCATTTCAAGTGCGCCATCTAACATCCGAAGTGGAACAATAACCAGTGGCCAATAAAACCAAACAGCAACAACGGATGTAATTGATTGACAGCTAGTTAAACAGCAACAAAAATAAAATACAATTTTGCTCCCATTATTAAACAGAGTGTGGAAATAAGAACATCAACAAACGGATTTAAAATCGAATTTTTTACAAAAAAAAACAAAAAATACAACAACTTAAAAACAAAGAAACTCTTGTTTCTTGCATCAGCATCAGAAGCTACTAGGCTACCGACAAAGACGACTAGTATTGAACACGGCATCCGGCTTAAAACCGATATTTTACATTTCAAGTTGATCATCCAACAACAAGAACAGCATCAACATCATCATCATCAACACCATTCACCAACAACAACAACAAATTTACAACAATCGTTATTGTTGTTGCTATTACATTTATACGTATCGAAAATAGTTGTAGCAAAATTTTACAAAATTTTCGCCATCGTACGACCAACGTCTTCTTTTGCAACCATCAACAATTTGTCAACATCATGATTGGACGCTTATTTCGCGCCCATGGCGAATTTTGTGCCTCCCATCCATGGGAGGTCATTGTAGCATTGCTAACAGTGACCGCCTGTATGCTGACCGTGGATAAACAGCAATATTTTACCGGTGCCTCAGCGACGACAGCTGATGGTGGTGGCGGGAGTGGGAGCGGTTTACCTAGCAGCTCCTCATCATCAGGCCGTTACCGACCACCCTGCCACGGTTGGACACAATCCTGTGATGGCCTAGAGGCTGAATATAATGCGGCCGATGTCATTGTCATGACAATTGTACGCTGTGCCGCTGTCCTCTATTGTTATTATCAATTTTGCAGTCTACACAAATTGGGTTCCAAATATATACTGGGTAAGTAGGTCATACATGTGATGCTGTGCACACACACACACCCTCAAAACTGTATCCATTTGTATTAAATACAAAATTTGTGGTAGTAGTTAGAATGAAATGAAAGTGTCAGGTTTTTGTTGTAGTTATAGATATAAAGTGTTGTGGGCAGGGAGTGTGGAGGTGACACGATGTGCCTGACTGCCAGGCATGTCATGTTTGTCCTCAAACATGTTTGTTTTTCGTATGATTAAGACATAAGAAATCAATTAAACAAAATTGAATTTAAAAATAGAAGACTATAGAACAACTATTCAAGGGGAATTTTATCCGCAGAAGATCTCTGGTAGTGATATATATCAATTGGAGATCTCTATACGGGTTATCCAATCTGGAGAAGGCCTTTTAAAGGGGCCCCATACCTCTTTAAGACCTCTATAAGGCTTCTCCTATCCCTAGAAGACCTCTATAATAGTTCTCCTATCTCTAGAAGACCTCTGTAAGGATTCTCCTACCTTTATAAGCGTTTCTTATGTCGAGAATACCTCTATAAAGGCTCTCCTATCTGTTGAAAACCTCAATAAGGGGTCGCCTTACTCTAGAATACCTCTATAAGTGTATTTCTATCGTAAGAATAAGTTCTCATATCTGCACAAAGCACATTTTAAAACTCAATTTTTCAATAGAAGGCCTCTATAGGGATTCTCCTGTCTATATATAGATATCAGGGCCTCTATAAAGAAGACGGAAGACATATTAAATAATCTTCTATCGGAAAAAATAGTCGATAAGACCTTTATAAATATTCCCCTATCTCTAAGTGTTCTCCTATATCTCTAGAAGGCCTCTATAAGGTTTCCCTTATCTCTAAAAATCCTCTATAAAGGTTCTCCTATCAGTAGAAAACCTCTATAAGTCTTCTTTTATCTTCAGAACTCCTCTATAAAGGTGATCTTTTTCTCTAGAAGACCTCTCTCCGTGTTCTCATATATCTAGAAGACCTTTATAAATGTTTCCTACCGATATCTCTAGAAGGCTTCCTTAAGTGTCCCCTACCTCTTGAAGATCTTTATAAGGGTTCTTCTTCTATTTCTGCAAAACCTCTATACGTGTTCTCCAATGACTAGAATACCTTTATAAAGGTTCTCCTATCGGTTAAAAACCTCTAAAAGGGGTCTCCCTATTCTAGAAGACCTCTATAAGTATTGTTCTATATTTAAAATACCTTTATAATACCTCTATCTGTATGATGCCTCTATAAGAGATCTTCTATCTATAGCAGACCTCATGAAAGTCTAATTTTATCTAGAAGGCCTCTATAGAGGTCTTCTATCTTTAGCAGATCCATTTTCCTATCCAAGGACTTTATAAGAAAGATAAAAGACATTTTAAATAAACCTGTAAAGCAAACATTCGATTTTAATTACATCTTTCATGCGTCATTATTGCCTCTACTTGTCTTCTATTTTAATTCTTTGTTTTTTTTTTTCTATATAAACTTTACATTTTCATTCCAATGACGGCCGCCATACCATACTGGGTCATTGTTTTTTAATTGCTTTTCCAAGTCGTGTTATAAATGTTGTCCCCATTTTTGTTCTTTGTTACTTAGAGAGAGAAGGAAAACATCTGACTGAACTCTGTGGTCTCTAACATTGTCAGCATATTGTTATTTTGTTATTGTTGTTGTTTTTATTTGACATCATATCATACTTATTGTTTTCTATATAAATATATATACGATACCCTACACTGAATTGTGTCATGTTATGGCGCCCAAATGTATGCAATCTTTTAAAACTATCTCTAAAAGTATAATTTTTGTACGATTCTATATTTGCTTAAAAATGTCACTCAATACCTCACTTAAGACGGGGTAGTGTCAATGGAAAATGTTTTCCTCGGCAAGAGAAATCGGTGGCTATGAACGTTATTCCTGAAAAGTCCATTAGAAAGTTGTTATACCAAAATAAATATAGTTTAGTTGATTTTTAGTGTGCTGTCAATAGGTTTTTGGTTGAGAGCCAAAAATCTCCCATATCTACTCATTTTAGAAGATTGATGTCAATGGAAAATATATTTCTCATTAATTTTCAGTGTTGGCCTCCAAGTAAAAGATTTCGGTAGCTATAACCGTTATTCGTAAAATTTTCCTTGTAAAATGGGTATATTAAACGGGATATAGTTTCGTTGATTTTTAGGGGATTTTAAATAGGTTTTTGATTAAGGGTCAATATCTCCCACAATTTCTCATTTTAGAAGGATGGAGTCAATGGAAAATGTATTCCTCATTAAATTTCACTATAGGTCTCTAAACAAATTTAATCGGTTTACACCATACATATCTTTCTAAAATCCGTATTGAAAATCGCATTAAAACCAAAAACAATATTTATTTATTTCGTTCGTTTGTAAATTAGATTAAAAATTTCGCTCAAATCTTCATTTTAGAGGGATTGTGTCAATGAACAAATTATTCCTAATTAAATTTCATCATAAGTCACCTTGCAAAAGAAATCGGTAGCTATAACCGTAATTCTTAAAATCTCCATAAGAATATACTGAGTATTCTTTAACTGATTTTTATAGTGTTTTCAATGGGATTTTGATTGTGGGCCAACATTTCCCTGATTTACTCATTTTAGATGATTGGTGTCAATGAAAAATATATTCCTCATTAAATTTCACTAGGGGTCTCTGAACGAAGGGAAGGGATTGGCGCATAACATATATCTTTAAAATATCTCTTCTTTTTCCTGTTATTGTTTTATAATACCATTTTAGATTTTTCGGCGCCTAAAAGTATGCAATCATTCAAATTAATTTAGACCACTGAAAAAGTATAATATCCTCGAACAGCTACAGAAATCGGTAGCTATAACGGTTATTCCTAAAAAAGTCCACAACAATGTAAATATATAAACTTTATATAGTTTAGTTGATTATTAGGGCATTTTCAATAGGTTTTCGATTGAGGGCCAAAATCTCCCACAAATTCTCATTTTAAAAGGATGGAGACAATGGAAATATATTCCTCATTAAATCTCACTATAGGTCTCTAAACAGCTTTAATCGGTATACACAATACGTATATGCCTAAAATCTGTATTGAAAATCGCGTTAAAAACAAAAAAAATATTTTGTTTATTTATTTATTTCGTTTGTAAATTATGTTCAAAATGCCGCTCAAATCTTCATTTTAGAGAGATTTTGTAATTTCCAATTCCAAATTAAATTTCAGTATAGGTCACCTTGCAATAGAAATCGGTAGCTATAACCGGTATGTTCATAATAATATTTTCAATATTGTTTAATTGATTTTTTAGAAGGTTTCAAAGAGGTTTTTGGTTGAGGGCCAAAATCTACCATAATTATTAATTATAGAGGGTTGGTGTCAATGAAAATTATATTCCTTATTAAATTTCACTATGGATCTCTGAACAGAGGGAAGTGATTAGCCTAACAAATATCTCTGAAATATCCCATCTTTTTCCTGTTATTGGTTTATAATGCCAGTTTAATTTTTTGGCGCCTAAAAGTATGCAATATTTTAACTTAATTTTGATCACTGGAAAGTATCCTATTTTTGTATATTATGCCTTACATATCATAATAAAATTCAAACTTTCATACATCAGAAACTGAATTTGAAATACCTCTACCAGATGTTTAGTCTGTGAAATAAATCCTCTTTAAATATGGAATAAAGGGTATACCAGGTTTATCTTATACCGACCTATTATTATTATTATTTCTTTCTTATTTCTTCTTATTCTCCCATCTTTAGTTTTTTCATTTGTTTTGTAAATTGTTTTTCTTTTTCATTTGAATTTCCTTTGTGTTAATATTGTTGGTATACAGAGAAAAGCAGACAGGAACTGTTTGACCTAGGTTCACCTAGTTTCTATTGTGTTGACATACCCTATACACGAAATACTATGAACGGGATATTTCAACCTTTAAACTTTTTAAAATAAAATAAATTATTATTAAGAATAATTCTGGAAATTGTTTTTTTTTTCAAAAGAAAAAAATGGTCTATTGTCAACATCTTTTGTGACGTGTACGTATTCCTATTGCCTTGTTTATTTACATTATATCGCCCCAAAAAAATAAGGTCGATATGCCCCCATCACCCTGAAAAAAATTGCTCGTGGCAACATTACGTCGAAATCAATCATGTGCAACGACCATTTTGTTTTTCTGAAATATTAGAGCTAATATTGAATTAATGTTTACTCAATTATGAGTGCCACTTGTGTAATTAAATTGCATTGCATTTTAACCACCAACAACAACAGCAACTTGTGCAAAAAATTTACATTTGCCATCATGCCCATAAATATGATGGTAAAATTAATAACAATGAAGGTCTAAGCCCGCTTATATATATTTTTTATTATTATTATTCTTGTTGTTGTTATTCACTTTTTTATGCATTTTGTTTATTTAACATAGAAAAATACGAGTATGTTCTTGTTTTTTTTTTTCTTACAAATATTAAAGGTAGAAAGTCGATTAAGCTTGGAATTATTCGGGAAATATATAGAACGTAAATGAAAAGGAATTCCATCGAACGTCAATGCCCAAATTTTCTCGATTTTTCGGGCTCGTGGCTTCATTTTGTTTTCTTTTCGAAATGGAGTCAATTTTTGTCATAGACCTTAATTTTGTTTATTAAATTTATGAATAACAATATTTTATTTGTTTTTTTTTTCTACAAATATTAAAGGTACAAAGTCGATTGAGCTTAATTGCAATATTGAATTGATAAGGGAAAAAATATATAGGACGTGACGGAAATTGACTTGACTTTCTCGATATTTCCTATACGTGTGTTAATACGTATTTTTGAATATAGAGTCAATTTCTGCCCCAAGGTTTCATTTTAGAAAGATTATGGCAATGTAGAACTAATTCTACGAGAAATTTTACTACAGGTAATTGACCATAAGAAATCGGTAGATATAGAATATACAGAGTTTTGAACTCAAACAAACTAATCAAAATAGTTTTTAGGGTTATTGCAAAGGCTTTTGAATTTCTGCCCAAATCTCAAATTATACTTAATTTTAGAGAAGAAGTGTCAATGGAGATTAAATTCCTCATCAAATTTCACAAAAGGTCATAATGCAAAAGAAATTGGTAGATATAAAATTTATACCCAAAATTCCCCTAACAAATTGGTATGAAAAGCTGGAAATAATTCATTTGGTGTTTAGGATGTTTTCACATTTTTTATTTGATAGTGAACTGAAATCTCTCATAACACTTCATTTTAGGCAACTATTTCTAATGGAAAATTAATTCCTCATTAAATTTCACTATAGGCCTCCATCAAAGAGAAATCGGTAGCTGCAAAATATATCCTTAAAATGTACCCCTCCCATTAAATTTAATTTTAGAGGACATGGAGTTTTTAGGGCTTCTGAATTTTTAATCAAATTTCGCATTGTACCTTATTTTAGAGGGTTAGCATCAAAGGAGAATCTATTCGTCATTAAATTTCACTATAGACCACCTTGCAACATAAATCGGTAGGTGTACAAATTATTCCGAAAATTCCCCTAACAAAATGATTATAAAAAACAGGGTATAGCTTAATGCGTGTCTTCAATAGCTTCTTGGTTTTGGGTCCATAACAGTTCATATTATAGGGTTGGTGTTAATGAAAAATATATTCCTTATCAAATTCCAATATAGGTCTCGAAGAAAAGAAATCGGCAACTATAAAATTAACCCTTAAAATGTTCCATAACATAATCGGTATAAAAACTGGATATAGCTTAATTGATATTTAGAATGTTATTAATAGATAGTTGATAATGGACTGAAATCTCCCATAACACTTCATTTTAGGCTACTAGTTCTACTGGAAAATTTATTCCTCATCAAATTTCACTATAGGTTTCCATTCAAAAGAAATCGGTAGCTGCAAAATATATCCTTAAAATGAAATTTTAGAAGTTTTGGAGTTTTTTTTAAGTTATTGGCAAAGGCTTCTGAATATTTAACCAAATTTAGAGGGTTAGTATCAAGGACGAATCTTTTCGTCTTTAAATTTGACTAAAGGTCACCTTGCAACAGAAATCGGTAGGTGTACAATTTATTCCGAAAATTCTTCTAACAATGGGTTTTTGGTTTTGGGCCAAAATAGCCCATAACAGTTCATATTAGGGGTTTGGAGTCAATGGAAAATATATTCCTTATCAAATATAACTGTCGGTCTTCGAAAAGAAGAAATCGGTAACTATAAAATTAAACCTTAAAAATGTCGATAACATAATCTGTATAAAAACTGGATATAGCTTAGTTGATATTTACGGTGTTTTAAATAGGCATTTGATAATGTACTGAAATCTTCCATAAAACTTAATTTTAAAAAAGTGGTATTAATTGACAAAAATATCCCATAAATGTGAATTTCTCATTAAATTTTACAATCAGAACATAGGGAACCTGTATACATACTATATATATTCCTAACAAGATGGGTATTAAAACTATACCTTATTTAGTTAACATTGTGACTGAATTCGATACACATTTTATTCTGTGGCCAATATCTCACGGAAAACATCTTTTTAGAGGTTTGGGTTAAATGGAAAATTTATTCCACATCAAATTTCACTATGGGTCTCCAGCCTGAGGAAATCGATACATGTAATGTAAATCCCTAAAAAGTCTATTGAAAAAATGAGATTAAAAACAAAACATTATTTTTGGTTATTTTTCGTTCGATTGCGAATTTGAGTAGATCTAACCCCCTCATTCTCATTTTAGAGGGTTTGTTGTAATGGGAAAAAGTTGCTCATCAAATTTCACTATAGGTCACCGTGCAACAGAAATCGGTAACTATAACTTAGAGTTCTTTTTTTTTTAATCAGTTTATTACAGAGAGGAGTCTTAATAATAAAGGAATTTGTTTCCCTACACATTTGACAGAGTGGCCTGTCACCTTGCAAAAGTTCCCTCGTCTTCATAACCCTGCTCCTATAGATTTCACTTCATCATTATCATAAAAAAAAGCAAAAAAATCTTAAAAACACTAATGTAGCAGGTACTTGAAAATACCTTAGACCTGCTTCAAACCTTGAATACTTAATATAATTTTAAAGTTAAACTGCATTGCAAAAACCGAAAACCTTCATCAAAATGAAACTCATTTTCGCTCACATATATGTCATAATATCCGATGACAAATGATGTCAAGGTGATTAACCATTTTAGACGGTGCTATTAATCCGGAAGGCATGATTTTCATTCATACATACAAACATACATACCGTACAAAGGCAACCTGCAGCAGCAAGTGTGTACTTAAAGCCAATGTTATTATCATCATAGACGGTATCTTGTCTGTATCTGCAGATTATCTGCCATCATTAAACGCTCGTGGTGTGTATATCGCCATCACCTGGTGTAATATAAGCCAAACTAATCCATATACAAAATGATGGTTAGATGCTGCGGCGAGAGATTATTTAAAATTAATTCACATTGTGTCACAATTTTATAGCATATAAAAAATTCAATTTCCACATAAGGGGAATATATTACTAATATCAAAAACGAGCCTAAATTATTAGAAGATACACGCTTATGTGAAATGAATATATGAATATGTATGATAAACATAAAACTGTTGAGGGGGATTTATTTCAAAACTTTTAATGATTTCTTAATTTAAATTTAAGATATTACATTGATCGCATCAATGATGTCATAAGACACATGCTTAAAATAGGGCAAGATGTATAGACCATATTCGATTAGGGTATTTTCCCGAAGTATTTCGTTCTAAGGGCAAAATCGCCCATAACACCTCATTTTAGAGAGCTGGTGTTAATGGGAAATATATTCCTCATCAAATTTCACTATAGGTCTCCGAACAATTTATCTCTTAAAAGTCTATAATAAAATGGGTATAAAACTAGATAATTTGACTTGTAAGCTGTTTTTCCAAAACATTCTATGGTAAGGGCAAAACCCCACACAACACTTCATTTTAGGGGATTTATACCAATGGAGAATATACTCCTCATCAAATTTCACTATAGGTCCCCCGACAATATATATCCATCTAAAATCTATTTGAAAATTTAGGTTAATACCTAAAAAAAACATTCCTTATTCTTGGGGTTATTTTCAAACGATTGTCAATATGGAGCTCTGTTTCTCGTTTTAGAGCTTTTGTGTTAAAGCAAAATGAATTCCTCATCAAATTTCACTATAGGTCACTTTGGAACAGAAGTCGGTAGGAATACAATTTACCCCTTAAATGTCTATAACAAAACGGGTATAAAATTGGATATAGTTAATTTGACTTTTCAGCTGTTTTTCCAAAGCATTTTATTGTAAGGCCAAAATCTCCCATAACACTTCATTTTATGGGATTTATACCAATGGAAAATATATTCCTCATTAAATTTCACTATAGGTCTCCGAACAGATGAAGTCGATAATTACACTTATTGTCCCTCAAAAATCTATACAAAAGTTAGGTTAGAAAAACAATCAAAAATAATATCCATAGTATTTGGATTATTTTCAAAGATTGCCAATATGAACCTTTATTTCTTCTTTTAGAAGGTTTGTCCTAATGGAAAAGTTATTCCTGATCAAATTTCACTATAAGTCACTTTGGAAGAGAAGTCGGTAAATCACCTAGCAATAGAAATCTGTTGATATGACAGTTATCCCTTAAATTTATTTAACAAATAAGTTTAATTGAACGTTATTGTCTACAAACAAATAATTGACTAAGAAGTTATACAATACCTCCGAATTATTATCCAATGTTTTCCAAATATATATATATATATATATATATCTGTTACTTATATATATATATATTTTTTTAAATATAACATTAATTTTTAAATATATTCTTTTCAGGTATTGCCGGTCTATTTACCGTCTTCTCCAGTTTTATATTTACCACGACAATAATCAAGTTCCTAGGCAGTGACATTACAGACTTAAAGTAAGTAATTATATAGAAAATATAATATTTCCGATATATTTCAACCGTTTCTCCTCTCTTCCTTACAGAGATGCATTATTTTTCCTATTACTCTTGATTGATCTCTCAAATTCGGGTACTTTGGCACAACTAGCTCTGGCTGGTACCAATCAAGCTGAAGTAACACATAATATAGCACGTGGTCTGGAACTATTGGGTCCAGCAATATCTCTCGATACAATTGTTGAAACCTTGGTGATAGGTGTTGGTACTCTATCCGGTGTACAGCGACTTGAAGTGCTGTGTACATTTGCCGTTATGTCCGTCATTGTCAATTATGTTGTGTTTATGACATTCTATCCAGCATGTCTGTCGCTGATATTAGATTTATCTCGTAGCGGTATGGATATGTCGATGGTAAGGGCAAGAGCACGTGATTCGATTCTATTGAAAGCCCTGAATGAAGAAGAACAGAAGGCAAATCCCGTTGTGCAACGTGTGAAAATTATTATGACCACTGGACTTATGATTGTCCACATCTATAGTCGTATGGTCTTCTCGAATGGTGAATATGATAGTGTCGATAAAACTTTAACACCTCAACTCAACATGAATGTCAACAATAATCGCACCGAATCGGGAGAATTGAGTGATTTAATAATTAAGTAAGTATTGCAAAAAAAATAAGTTAAATTTTAAAAGTGTGGTTTTAAAATCAGGGATAAAGCTAAGATTTGCATATTTAGTATAGACGATATATTAAAACGAGTTTCTAATAAGAGGTTAAAAAACACACAATATATAATCGGCCCATTTCATAACTGTTTTGCTTTCAATCGATTGCATTATTGTAATTATAATTTTCACACATTTCATTTTCATTATTAGTCGAATAATAGCTTTACTAGTAATCTTACAACACATGCCAATAATTGGCTGGCACTTAAAGTTGTAATTGACAACAATCGCCTACCTAACCTAATTTATTAATGGGATCAAAATGGTTAAGTATTATTTTTTATTAATGAACGTTCGATCTACTTACTATTTATTTTGTTATTTTGAAATTATTAAATAATATGGAATTTACTTTTTAACAACAAATACAAAATACAGTGTAGTTCAAATATTACGAACCAACAGATTTATTATTAATTCAGAACACAATCGAATAAATGTATTATTTTATACTGATTTCAATTGTATACGTTAGCTTTACAGTGATATTTGGTTTAGAATATTTTCGTCATTGGCATCATTCCCCTAAATTTAATTATTATCGGTGATTTTGACCACCAACTCAGACTCTTAGGAAAATGTCTCTTCAAATTCAAAAGTAATCGTAAATTCGTAATCGCAATTTTAAGGTTATATATTATAACTACAGATTTCATATATTCGGGGCATATAGTGAAATTTGGTCTACAATATGTTCTCCTTTGGGTCCACCTCCCAGAAAATAAGTTTTCTAAAGGTTTATATTATTAATTCAGAACCCAATCGATATTTACCAAATAAATGTTTTTGTTTTATACTGACCCAAATTATTAGACGTATTTCCATTATATATGTTACATTTACAATTTTCTTTCCTTCAATGACCTATAGTGAAATTTAGTATAGAATATTTTTGTCATTGGTATCACCCCTCTATAATTGAGTATTATCGGTGATTTTAACCGCTAACTCAAACTCTTATGAAAATGTCTCCTAAATTTCAAAAGTAAAATGTTTTGTGCATATATGCACATTCGTAACCGCTATTTTATGGTTATATATTATACATACAGATTTCATATGTTCGGGGACCTATAGTGAAATTTAGTCTACAATATGTTCTCCTTTGACTCCACCTCCCAAAAATTAAGTTTTTATTATTTATTTAAAACATTTTTAAAATTAACCAAAAAATTATATTTCCTCTATACTTATCCGCATTTAAATAATATATGTTATATATACAAGTTTTTTGTCTTCGATGACCTAGAGTAAAATTTGGTGTAGGATTTTTTCGCCATTGACAATATCCCCCTAAAATTATTATAGGTCATTTGGATCTCCAATTTAGACTGTTATGAAAAAAAATTAAATTTCATTGATTTCTATTATGGATACCGACTTCTTATATTCTGAAATCGATGATAACATTTTGTATAGAACACGTTTACCACTAAGTATTATATTCTATTTTAGTATTATAAATGATTTTAACCTCCAATTCAGACACGTATGAAAATGTCTCTAAATATTCATTGATGTCTCTAAATATTCATTGATGTCTCTAAATATTATTGATTTCTATTATAGCTACAAATTTCTTTTATTCTGAAACCTATGTTAAAATTTGGTATAGAAAATATTTTTCATTGAGACCATCTTCGTAAAATGAAATATTGACCTCAACATCAGACTCGCAGGAAAATGTCTCCCTAAATACATAAATTATATTTTTTGTTTATATTGGTTATAAAATTTCATTGAATTCGGTTATAGCTAAAGTTTTTTTTTTATTTTGAAACCTATGATATAGAAAACATTTACCATTTACACCGTTTTCGTAACATGAAGTATTGTCCTCAAATTCATATTCATATAAAATGTCCCCAAAATTCACAAATTTTATTTTTGTGTATATCAATTTAGTTATATATATATATATATATTTTTTTTGATTTCTATTATAGCTAGAAATTTATTTTATTCTAAAACCTATATTAAAATTTGATATAGAAAATGTTTACCATTGAGAACATTTACGTAAAATGAAGTATTATGGGTGATTTTGACCTGCAATTTACACTCGTATGAAACCAACTTCCGAGAATTAAGTATGGCTGAATAATAGCAATAGTACCACTCGTCCCTTCTGTAGCTACATCTACACTTAACAAATGTACTAATTACTTACTACTAATTAATTATGCAAAGAAATTTTGTTAACGTAATATCCGATTTAATCAAGAGGTATATTTAATTATGAGTAATTATTGAAATATGCAACATTTCCGATCCGATTGTTTGATAACATTTTGTAAACTTTATAAACTTGGAAAATTTGTTAGCGTCGTGGCAGTTTATCGCCTAATCTTGAATTGAATCATTCAAAAATTTCTAATAACTAACAAAAATGAAGGATATAAAAAATTATTCCATCATATCCATATTGTAATATTACTTTAATAAACATTAGAAAATATTATTTTTTAATTAAAAGCCGCCAATTAAAAAAATCACATTAAACTATATTTGGTATTGCACCAATTTCCATTTTCATTTTCCAAAAATAAATTACATTAATTTGTGTTACCAAAAAAAAGAAAACACATTTTTTCCAAATGCATTTCTAATTGTGTTCTTCTTCTTTCTTTCTTTCTATTTCTATTTACAGATGGCTGACTATGAGTGCCGATCAAATTGTGATACTTATACTACTCATAGCTTTGGTAATTAAATTTATATTTTTCGAAAATCGTGAAGATTTGCATGATCAAATACGCCAATCGACTGTTACAATTGCTGCCAAATCGTCCCAGACTCAGCCGCAACTACTTGAAGCACCCGCAACAAATAGCACATCAGACGTGGCAACACTTGAGAAGGCAGAAAATAATCACAGCGCCAGCAATGCTTTGGTGGTGTGTCGGGATGAAACCACAACAAATAAAAACAATTCAACAACAACAATTGTACCAACATCCCGACCACGCATTCCCCTATTTACCATTGAAGAACAGAACACAGCAAATGCCTCTACACAAACGGAATATAATTTAAGTTTGATCGATACAAGTGATGGTGCTGGTGCAATGTTGTTACCATTGAGCGAATGCAATCAGTTGTCAAAAATGCGTTCACCACGTTCTCTCGAAGAATGTCTGGAAATTTTAAATTCCAGCGAAGATGGTATGTCTGGAGCAGCCAATTTAACCGATGAAGAAATCATTAACATTGTCAATGCTGGTGGTCAATATTGTCCTTTGCACAAAATCGAAACAATTATTGATGATCCCGAACGGGGTGTTAAAATACGTCGTCAAATTATTAGTGGCCGTGCCAATCTGTCTGCCGAACGCCTTGAATGTCTTCCATATAAACACTTTGATTACAAACGTGTTATGAACGCCTGCTGTGAAAATGTCTTAGGTTATGTACCCATACCCGTAGGTTATGCCGGTCCCCTGCTCTTAGATGGGGCCAAATATTTTGTACCCATGGCCACGACAGAAGGTGCTCTGGTGGCCTCCACAAATCGTGGTTGTAAAGCTTTATCGGTACGCGGTGTCACCTCGTATGTCGAAGATGTGGGCATGACTCGTGCCCCCTGTGTTCGCTTCGCAAGTGTTACTCGGGCTGCCGAAGCCAAACGTTGGATATCCGATGAACAAAATTATCAACGTATTAAAGCGGAATTTGATTCCACGTCACGTTTTGGTCGTCTCAAGGAGTGTCACATTGCCATGGATGGTCCCCAGCTGTATATACGTTTTGTCGCCCTCACCGGTGATGCTATGGGCATGAATATGGTTTCGAAGGGTGCTGAAATGGCATTGAAATGTATTAAACGTGAATTCCCCGATATGCAAATTATTTCCTTAAGTGGTAACTTCTGTTGTGATAAGAAACCGGCCGCCATTAATTGGATCAAGGGTAGAGGAAAACGAGTTGTGGCGGAATGTATTATCCCAGCGGCCACATTGCGTAGTGTCTTAAAAACTGATGCCAAAACATTGGTTGAATGTAATAAATTGAAGAATATGGGTGGTAGTGCTATGGCTGGCAGTATTGGAGGTGAGTTAAAACTGTAAATTATATATATATATTTTTTTTCTTGGGAATCCTAAACAACAATAAATAAGTATTTCGTACAGCGACCTTCAGTAAGCATTGGTTTAGAAAAAGTTCACCAATGACACCTAACTCGCTAAAATAAAGTGTTGTACAAAATCTCAGTACATTTTCGAAAATGTAGACAAATTTTGTTAATCAATTAAATCATAGGTTTTTTGATGTCATGTATTATATATACAGATTTATTTTATTCTATGACCTATAGTAAAATTTGATGTAGAAAAATTTCATCATTGTCACCAACACTCTACAATGAAGGGTTCGACCGAATATGACTACATTTCCGAAAAGTACCTACACATTTCATATGTTCGGAGACATATAGTGAAATTTGGTCTAGAATATGTTCTCCTTTGGGTTCAGCTCCCAAAAATAGTGTTTTTTTGAGGTTTTTATTATTAATTCAAAACACTATCTATATTGACCAAATAATTATACTATTCTGTGCAGACCGAAATAGATGGGTTTATTACAATTGTATATGTTATGTTACAGTTTTCTTTTCTTCAGAAATCTATAGTGATTTAGAACATTTTCGTCATTGGCACGTGCCCCCTAAAATTAAGTATTATGGGTGATTTTGACCTCCATTTCAAACTCATATAAAAATTGACCCTAGAATTTGTAAATTTTTTCTTTTATTATATACGGAATTTGTTATTTAAATTTAATTGGTTTCTATTATATATACAAATTTTATTCTGAAACTGACGTTGGAATTTGGTATAGAAAATGTTCACCATTGAGTCCATCTTCTTAAAATGAAGTATTATGGGTGATTATGGCCTCTGCAATTCAGACTCATGAAAAGGTCCCCAAAAATTATTTTTTTGTTTATATATCGAATTGGTTTTATAAATTTGATTTATTTTTATTCTATCTACAGATTTCGTTTATTCTGAAACTGATATTGAAATGTTATATAGAAAAAGTTCGCCGTTAAGATCATCTTCCTAAAATGAAGTATTATGTGTGATTTTGACCTCCAATTCATCAGACTAATAAAAAAATGTCCCAAAAAATTTTATTTTTTTATTTATCCCAATTTTTTATCATTTACTCCGAAACTGAAGTTGTAATTTGGTGTAGCAAATGTTCACCATTTTCCAAAAATGAAGTATTGTGGATGAATTTGGCCTCCTCATGTAAATTTCCGCGAAAATTAATTAATATATATATATATATATATATATCTAATTTATATATCGAATTATAAATTTTATGGATTTATATTATAGATTTCCTTTGTTTTGAAACTGATACTGAAATTTGATATAGAAAAAGTTCACCGTTAAGATCATCTTCCTAAAATGAAGAAGTATGAGTCATTATGACCTCCAATTCAGACTCATATAAAATGAACTCAAAAATATTACTAATTAATATTTTGTTTATATTCCAAATTTGTTATCGACATTTCATGGATTTCTGTTACATCTACAGATTTAATTTATTCTGAAACTGATGTTGAAATTTGGTATAGAAAATGTTTACCTTTGAGACTATGTCTCTAAAATTAGGTATTGTGGATAATTTCGGCCTCCATTTTAGACTCATATACAAATGTCCCCAAAAATTCCCAAATAATGTGTTTATTTATATGCCACATTTGTTATATACATTTCATGGATTTCTGTTATATCTACAGATTTAATTTGTTATGAAACTGATGTTGAAATTTGGTATAGAAAATGTTCACCATTGGGACCATCCCTCTAAAATGAAGTATTATGAATGATTGGACCACCAATACAGATTCATATAAAATGTCCTCAAAAAATATTAATAATTAACATTTTGTTTATATACATAATTTTTTTATAAAAATTTAATTGATTTGTACTATATCTACAGATTTCCTTTATTCTGAAATGAATGTTAAAATTTGGTATAGAAAATAATTACTATTGAGACCAACTTCTTAAAATGAAGTATTATGGGTGATTTGGACTCCAACTCTTAAGAGTATGAAAATATCTCTCAATAAACGATTTTTATTTATACACGAAATTTTCTACAATTTTTATGCCGATTTTTTACCACAAACACAGACTTTTTAGGTCTGAGACTTATATTGAAATTTTATTTCGAATATTTTTTCCATTGACACCCAGGCCAAAAAATTAGGTTTTGTAGTGACATTGTGCAATTTTTAAAAACACTTTAAAAAAAATATTTTTAATTTTTATATTCATTTCCTATTAATTTTTATTTATTTATTTTTCGTTTTTTTACAGGTAATAACGCCCATGCCGCCAATATGGTAACAGCTGTCTTCTTGGCAACCGGACAAGATCCAGCACAAAATGTTACCTCGAGCAATTGTTCGACGGGCATGGAATGTTGCGGTGAAAATGGTGATGATTTGTATATGACATGTACAATGCCCTCACTGGAGGTGGGTACTGTTGGCGGTGGTACTGGTTTGCCTGGACAAAGTGCCTGTTTAGAAATGTTGGGTGTACGCGGTGCAAATAATGCCCAGCCCGGTGAAAATGCCAAGAAATTGGCACAAATTGTTTGTGCCACCGTAATGGCCGGTGAATTAAGTCTTATGGCCGCTTTGGTCAATAGTGATCTAGTCAAAAGTCATATGAGACATAATAGGTAAGAACAAAAAAATGAAAGTGAAAACTTTTGATAGAAATTAATTTGTATTTATTTTCACGTTTATTATAGATCCTCAATAGCTGTAAGCGGTAAAGCCACAAATCCCTTAAACGTTACAGTATCCAGTTGTAGTAAAATAAGCTAAAATTTGTTAATTATAATAATAAAATCTAAGGAGTTTAAAACAGAATGCTATTTATACTACCTCCTGATGTTTTTTTCGGTTTCTTTTTTTTCATTCCAAAACCAAGATTTTTGTTTTCCACTCTTGAACAAAAAGAGGTCAAAATAAAAAGAAACGACAACAGCAAACAACAACAAATTACAAACCATGAAAAGATAAATCTCTCGTATGTGTGTATGTATGTATATTTCCAGGTCCTATTGCATAGTAGTGGTATTTTACAAAAAAACCATATAAAATAATAATATTATTTAAATAACACAGTGCTATAAGTTATCAAAACGTTTATTGAAAATTTGGGTTAATGCTTCAAACGTATGGTATTTTCAGAACTCATAGAAAAGCAAGCAATCTGCAGTCATAACCAATCTTTTTGAGAAAGTAAACAAAATCTAAAACATAAATATTTTATTTAATTATATCTATTATATCCAATTTTTTTGTTATTAAAAAAACACTAAAATATAAATATGTATATGAATTAAAATACCAGCATACATTAATACCATCTAGTCAATAAACAATTTTAGAATAAAGTTAAATGTTGAATATTTTACACTTTTAAAATATTTCCCATAAATTATTATATTCAAAAACTGTATCGTTAATTTATGTCGAAAATTTAATTTAAATTATAACCTCAATTTTACAAAATATTTATTTTATTTCATTACTTTCCCATACAATACCAGTTTTTTTAACAATCATCCCTATTATAGAAAAAAAAATGGAGAAATCCAATAGAATGGGAATTCATATTTCTCAATTCCCGAAATGTTTGTAATAAGGATGATTTGATTTATATATTTTTATTAATATCACTTTTTCAAAAATTATTTCAATTCTTTTCCATAAAATGTTGTCCGATAGTAAAACATATAATTTAGTTTTATGAATATATCTGAAAAATACATCTAAGGACAAAGAGGCTATCGATGTACTCATAAATTTATTGAACGTTTTTAGTTTATTTCGGACCTAACCTCACTTGTTTTTTAAATTACGTGGAAATAACAAGAAAATGTTCACCATTGAGACAATCTCTCCTAAATTAGGTATTGTGGCTGATTTTGGCCTCCAATTCAGACTCATATACAAATATGCCCAAAAATTCCCAAAAAAATATTTTTATTTATATGCCACATTTGTTATATAAATTTCATCGATTTCTGTTACTTATACAGATTTCATTTATTCTGAAACTAATGTTGAAATTTAGTATCGAAAATGTTTACCATTGAGACCATCCCTCTAAAATGAAGTATTATGGGTGATTGGATCTCCGATTCAGAATCATATAGAATGTCCTCAAAAATTTTACTACTTAATACATTATTTTTTATGTATTATGTTGAAATTTAGACCAACTATTCTGCGTGATTTTGACTCCAACTCTTAAGTGTATGAAAATATCAATAAATGACTTGTATTTAAACACAAAATTTGCTACCGATGTCGATTTCTTTTTTTTTCCTTTGTTCATAATACTATTAAAATTTTGGAAATTTTATGTGCAATTTAACCCTTGCCTAAATAAAATTTGAATTATAACCTCACTTTTTTAATAATCAAAAAATTCCCTAAGATAGTTAATCAATTGGATAGACCTATTTATTGGTTTTTATTAAAAAAAAAAACAAAATTTTTATTCATTCATTGTAATATTTATTGTTTATTGTCTGAAATTATATTTCGACCTTTTGGAAACGTCACTTTTTGGAAAATTCTATGGAAATCTAAACAGAATCTAGACAAAAGTATCTCCATGAATGTGTTTATTAGAAAATGTCAAGTTTTTTTATTCATAACACTATTAAAAATGTTTGAACTTTTATTTCCAACTTAACCTCACTTTGTGAACATAATCTTATTTTAGTTTTTGGAAAACTGTTTTAAATGCTGCACAATTGCATTTAAATATCTTCTAAAAGACTTTGGCAGTTTTAATAACCTCAGTTATAACCTCATTTTTTGAAAAATTTGCCAAATGTCCGTCATTACTCCTATTGAGAACACTTGGTTTAAAAAAGGTTTAAAAATTCTAGCAGTTTTATTAAGAGATCTTGCCTAAATTTTGTTTCAGTCATAACCTCACTTTTGTGACAAAAAATTTGAAATTGAAAAAAAAAATTTTTGATTTCAATTGATATCCCTTGTTTGTGGACTTTAATACAAATGCACAATTTTTATTTAGATTTTTTTTAATTCTGCAATTTCGGACTGTTTTTGAAATGTTCGTAAAAGTCCCCTAAAATAATTAACCAAATTCGGAAATTTTATATGTTACACATAACCTCAAATTTTGTAAACCAAATGAATATCCTTCAAAAATACTACCCCCAATGCAAGCAATTACTACCCAATGTTTTATTTGTATTCAAAAGGCTGGCATTTTTTATGGGAAATTTTATTTTAGACTTAACCTCACTTTTTTCGAAATGTTTTTTGGAAATTCATAAAATGTCATTAAAACACGCCTTTGAGTCTACAGAAAGTGTTTGAATAGTATTTTAGTATTTATTTTCTCAAAATTGTTGATTGTTGTGCTGCGATCATAACCTAATTTTTTATTCGTTTCTTTAAGTTTATAGCACTGTGTATTTGTTTAAAAACCCCCATCTAATATTACAAACAACAATAATATTTATTAGAAATTATAAAAAAAAAACTATAACAACTTAATAATATTATTTAAGGAACAAAAACAAAGGTTTTTAAAACCATTTCATTTTACATAACAATTAAAATATTATTTTTATTAAAATAAAAAAAATACTTAAATAAAACTAAAAAAATTGAAATGTGCCCGCACAATCAATCTTATTAAAATCGTATGATCAGAAAAGAAAACTAGAATTCCTTTTTTACATTTGCAAATAAAAAATAATAAATATTGAATAAAAATAAAATAACGGTTTAATAATCCACCCTCCCTGGAAGCCAGTATGTGGCCTATGTTGCAAAATACCAAAGAGACAAATAACATATATAAATTGAATTTGTAAAACAATTTTGAAAGCACCCATTGATCAGGCAAATGGGTAACAAAAATATCGTCTCACATTGAATTGGCACAACATGTTTCAAAACTTTTTTCTACATAATACATATAACATTAAATACAAATACATAAATATATATTTTTTTAAATAACTGTTTATTCTTCATATACATACTTACATTATTTGACTTAGTATAGTAGAATAGAAAATTTTTTTGTATATGAAAATGCGATACAAATTGTTTTTGTTTTTTAATTATTAATTTAAAAATATAATAAAAATGTAGTCGTCATTCATTCAAAACGATTATTAGTTATTAGTCTAGAAGAATAAACATTCTTATTACGTATAGAAGAAGAGAGAGCCTATCGTTTTTATATATTTTTTTATTGACATTTTAAATCCCCCATGTAAATTCTTTTTAATTTTTTCGTGTGTAGAAAAGTAATTAGTGTGTAGTGAATTTTTTAATCAATATTATTATTATTATTTTGTAGTATAGTTCGGTTTTCAACGAAACTCTTTTTCACTTTCTCTATTTTAACGACATTCAGTTCTCATAACAAAAAAAAAATCCTTTGAAAGGTGCGATTAGTAAGCATTTATCATTGTTAAATAAAAATAAATAAAAGGAAATTCGTATTTTTTCCTATTCTTCCCATATTAAAAAAAATACAACAACAACAATAAGAACCAACTAAAATAATATACGAGTGACAAATATTTATTAACAAATCTTTTTCTTTTAATTTTTATTATTATTCATTTCATTTATTTTAAATTTAATTTAATGTAACAACAAACAATAAAAGAAACAATGTGTATACTTGTTTTGTGAAATAAGTAAAACAGAAAACAAAACAACAAAAGATTTTTTATTTATTTGGATAAATCTCTTAAATGAGAAGTAAAGAAAATGTAACTGAGAAGGATGAGGTAAATGGGTGAGTATAATTAATACACAAATTCGCCATGAGTCATTTGTGAGGACTTGAATATTTTTTTCCTGAAATAATACCAGTTTTAAAAAATGAAAATATCTAAGAAATATCAGCGAATCATACAATAGTCCGATCAGAAGATATTACATTGCATAAGGTGGTCGAACATATTGAGAAGATTATGGTGGACTACTCTAGATTCAAGGTTACCAACCTTCCCCGGCATGGAGGAATCCATTCTGGAAACTATCCATTCCGATCTGGAATTATTTATCAACGTTGTAAATGAAAGTGGTGCCGAAGACCCGAATGTATCGATTCTTCGTCGTTTTCAGGAATTAAGACTGTCTTACGGCATTTAGATCTAGGAGTAGTCCATATGAACTCCTGCTCACGCAAAAACAGAAACCAATAAGAACCTGTAAGAGTTTGGACATTCAATTCCATAAATTAGATTTAAAAATATTAAAAGAAGTGACCAATCGGTCCATCCATATTCGGACCTGATCTATGCTTGGTAAAAATATTACGATGTGCAAAGTTTGAATGAAATTGGATATTCCGTTCGCTTCTTACTGAATTAACAAATTTTCAAAATTTTGAGACTTTGTGGACTTCATCTAGGCTTAGTTTATTTTTATTAATTATTAAAATGGGAATTGTTATTTCAGACTTAACGTCACTTTCCTCGAAACGTTTTTAGTTGCTTACTTACTTACTTAGATGGCTTGTGACAGAACTTTCGTTCCATAAGCCTAGCTTAAAAAAGATTTCCTGGCGCTTCGGTCTTTTGCGCAGTTTTTCCAATTTTAAAGATCATATTCGGCAATGTTGTCTTCCAATTGATCTTTCCATCCTATTCGTGGCCTTCCCCTCCTGCGTGAACCATCAGTTGGTTCGCTTTTATATGCCTTTTGGGCTGGGGCATCTTCATCCATTCTCACAACATGACCTAGCAGCTCAGTACGTCTAAAAATACCGATGTCCGAAAATAGCTAGTACAACTCATGATTTGACGGCGATATTCACCGTCAACGCAGATCGGCCCGTAAGTCATTTGGAAAATTTTTTCTCAAACGCTGCAAGAGCTGCCTCATCTTCAAAATGTTTTTGGAAATCCATAAATTACCATTCATACACATCCTCGAGTCTACAGAACGTGTTTAAATAGTATTTTATGAAAGAATTTATTTTTATTTTTTATTCGTTTTCCCTATTTTTTATCCATTTCTTTAATTTTTTAACACTCTATGTTTGTTTAAAAAGCCCATCTAATATTGCAAACAACAATAATAATTTTTAGAAATTATAAAAAAATGTGTTGACCATTTTTGGGGTAGGTTCCAGATGGAGTGGATTGATTTTCCTCATCTTCAAACTTGAACTAAGTTTGGAAAAAATAATACAATGTGTAAAGTTTGGATAAAATCCGTTGCGACCTCTAAAAGTTGTCGTGCGAACCAGTCAGACAGATATACGGACGGACGGATATTTGTAAATCGACTCCAAATTGTCTTAATCGGATTTGGTCCAAAGAAACATGGTGTCTAAAATCAATATTTCTATGAGACACACTTTGGCCGTAGAACAATGTATTTACCCTAATTAGCCATTAGACTGGGAGTATTAAAACAACATTTCGTGTAAAGCGAACAAAAATAGTCTATACTTTGTTTACATTTAACAAAAAAGTAGACGACTTTTAAATTATATTTGAACTTTCGCATAATGCTAATTTTCCCTTATATGACATATGTTTATATACGTAATGTCAATATGGAATAAAACTTTCGATGTTCCTCGAACGATTTGTGCAAATTTTATGAAAATCCGTTAAGTAGTCGCTGAGTTATTTGCATTTGAATTTAACGATGTTCCGAAATATACTTACTGTTCGGTGCTGGGCGCCTATTATCTGAAAATGAAAAATCACACAAAAATGAATGTTTAAAAATGGTAATTTGTTCTGCTCTCATTTAAAATAATAGTAATTTAAAGCATATTTTTAGGCGCAAATAATGACACGTATGAAAAGCGCCATCTATTGAAGCACATTATTGAAAGTAGGTCGTTTTTCTAATCGTGTTTATATTGAATCGAATTAAACCTCAAAACCCCTTAAAAATATTTAAATAGCTAATATAATGTAATAATCATAACCTCAATTTATTAAAAGTACAAAGAGAATTTAAAATACAACTTGGCTTGATTTTAATCGAGTATCTATATTTGGTTTTTTTCCTGCTGAAAATATTAACTAAATCTTTTGCAAACTTAACGAAACCCTGTAAAAACGTGCAAATGCACTTTATTTAAATCGGGTAATTTATAAATTTTATCTTCGCTGTAAATCATTTTATATGTATATTTATACACATATATCTTCCGATCAAGTACGGTACTTACCTTTTGACTATATATTTTTAACTGAAAACATAGTCTAAAGTCGGCTAATAACACTATTGTCCTATTACTACCTTTTTGTGGACCTCTAATTATTTAGAAGTATTTCTATGAAAAAATATGAATTATTTCAAGGAACACATTATGCAAAAAGAAATTATTTTTTTTATTCATATTATGGAAAATTAAACGTTACTTGTAAGACATTACATTTCTTTTTTTATGAATCGCTTCTTCGTTTTCATTGCTTACATATCGGACAAATAATTACAATTATTTCATATTGCAAATGAAACAAATTTAAAAATAAACAAATAGGTATGTGTGAAGAGAGTGTATTTTGGAAATATGTGGCCACTGTAGAGAGACAAATCAGTGCCCACAATCTCAAATTTGTTGTATTGTACAAAATCGTACACTAATAAAATATAATATTTGGATTTGAACTCCATATTTGAAATTTAATATAATTGTGTGGATAATATTCACCACGTTTATTTTGATTTGTTCAAATTGTTGATGTGTGGATGTCAATTTTCAAATTGGCAGCAATTTCCTGTATGATTGTTTTCTTGTCGTTTTATTTGAATGATTTGTTGCATTTTTAATACAATACTATACTTTTTTTAATGAAATTGAGTTTATCTTCCTTCTTTGCATAATATTTTATTTGGAACTGCTTTTGTTTTGCAAATAATTTCACATGTTGTAGTGGTGGTGGTATTGTGTAATTTTCGATTGTTAAATTTTATTGATGAATTTTTCGGTTTTCTTCATGGCTTTTGTTTTATTTGTAATTAATTATCAGACACTTCTTCTTGTTGTTGTACTTTTGTTGATGATGATGATTCGGGTGTCAGCAAAGGTTTTTTAGGGCTAGGTTCGGTGGAATCATCATGATCTGGTTCGGCAACAACCGCCGATGCGGCAACTTCGTCATGCTTAGCAGCGTCATTGCTGTTTGCCTCCTCGCCATTGCTTTCACCGCTATTTTCCGCGCCCGAATTAGCAGTGCTCATATCATCGGGATGCGATAATTTACGTTTCTCTATACGCTCCACAAGAGCACTATGTAAATTCTTGATTTCCGCTGGACGAGCCATTACTAGAAATATTTTTATTTTACCCGTATTATCCATGGCTGTGAGTCTTAGCGATTTTTGACTAGGTCTTTCAGCAACCATACCACCCCAGACCTAAAATGAATAAATTATGGAGAATTTTAATAATTTAATAATTATAAATAATAATAATTTATTACTATCAGAAGAGCTTAAGATTTCCTTCTAATTGTAGATGAGGCTCAAAAGAAGAAACTGAAGAAAAGTTTCAAAATGACATATTTATAGTAGAGCTTCGGAATATCTTATAGAAGAGTTTCAAAAGAAAGTATTGTAAGAATTGGAATTGCTCAGAAAGACTTATATCTACGGAAGCTTCAGTAAGTCTAACAATATGAGTTGTTCAGAAAGCCTTAGAACTATGACACCGATATAGGCGTGGATTTTTTTAAAATAGAAAATATATGTTTACCCAACACAATTTGCACGTAGGATGGGTTCTGGACAATGAAGACCCCTATTGTTTTTGGTAGCGATCGATTAATATTTAGGGGATGAAATGGACCAAAAACTTAATTTTTGTCTGATTTTCTGGTCGCTCCAGAAGCCGCAATTATTGCCCAAACATCGCGAATGAATTTACATCGAGAAGGGGATCGGGCCAAAGGGGATCGGGCATGTTTTGATAAAGATCGGTCAATATTTAGCGCGTCAAATGGACCCTGACTTTTGTGTGAAAAATGAAAAAATGTGTATTCTTTGGCGTATATATTTACTCCTGAAGGACATAGACATGAGAAATTGATAGTATATCCAAGAGTAGTGGTTGAACTTCAGATGGATACCGTATGTACTCGGATATGGGAGTTACACTTAAATATTTACAGATGCTTACGTACTCAGATATTATTTAGTAACCCATTACCACACTAGAGGACGGAAATATAGCGTTGATCGCTTTGACTGACCTCTAGTCGGTGAAGAGGTTGCAAATATTGCGAAATATTGCCCAAGCTCAGAATAAAGAAGCACACAAAGTTAGATTTCCGTGGAAGTTGTGTAGGGTATCATATGGTCGGCCCTGTCCGACTATACTGCCTCGCTCACTGGTTTGTCTATCCGCATGTGTAGAATTTGTAAACATATTTCCTTCAAGGTCTACCTCAGGTTTAGATTATTTAAAAAAATATTTGTTTCAAGATCTACCACAGACGTAGATTATTTAAAAAATATTTTTCAAGGACTTCCATGTTATTTAAAAATGTTTTTCATGACCTATACATAGACAAACATTTATAAAAATATTTTTTCATGTTCCTTAAACTGGCGAGATTTTCACAGGCGATATTTTGTTTTTAATTTTTTCAACTTATGGTATGTTCTCGTAATCCAAGAATCTACAAATTTCTACTATATTTTCAGATATCATAAAAGAAAAATTGTTGTCGTAGTAAATACAATTTTGTAGTTTCTGGAACAGAAATTTAAATTCTATATATAGTTAACATTTGGAAAACAAATTTTATCAACAGTTGAAACCTATTTGCCTACACATAGAGAGAGATAAATAAACTTATTTACAACAGGTGGATTTAGAAAGCGGTTCTTATTAAATAAAATAAAAAAACATTTAACTACATAATGACTTACCTTTGTATTAAGTAATAAACGTAGATTTCCAGCAGTTCTAAATACCAAACGTGAACATTCATGTTCAATTCTGGAATCATTAAGGCGTAAACTACCACGACCACGTTCCTCCCAATTGCTATTGACAAATGCAAACAGTTTACAGTTCAACTAAAAAGAAGAAATATAAAATAGTCCATTATTACATCCGATAACAGCTTTTAAATATTTACTCCAAACTTACATCGACAATATTGACTTCATTTTCTTCACCAGTAAATGTTTCAACTTCCTCGTATTTACGTTTTTGGGCACGACTCTCTTCATATTCGCGTGCAACATCAGTCAGACTCTTGGCTTCGGCATTAGCATCTTTATCGGGATTCTCTGTTGGTTTGGCTGCAGCAGCAGCATTTTGTATTACACTTGAGAAAAGTAATTCACCCGATGCTGAGGTAGAAGAATCGTCATTATTCGATTCCGCTGGTTTATCTGATTTCAAATGTTCCTATGGAAAATTAACATACATTTATGTCAAATAGGTATATTCGAAGAATATTTGCTAAATTACTACACTTACCCCCACAACACGTTCGTGTAAATTTTGACCAAAAACAAAGCCGGATTTTTCCACCAATGGTATAGAGCTTTTGGCGGCCGCAAATAAATTAGCCCGTTCCATACCATTTTTACGCAAAAGTGTTAAGGGATCGGCACGCTCTTCCGATGATTCCTCATTGTCTGTACCCTTATTGTTATCGGCGGCCTTGCTTGAGGTACCGGCATCCTCATCGTCCTTGATCTCTTTCAAAAATGGATTACTACTAGAAGGTTCGCTTGCTTTTTCTGCCGGCTTTGGACCACCACTATCACAACCGCCCGATGCCGCACCCTCCTGACCATCAGTCACCGTTGATGTGGCATTTTGTGTACTAGTGCTGTTGTTGCTCGACGAAAGGGCTGAGCCCAATCTTGATGGTCCCAACACGGATGGACGTAAAACGCCGGCTCTCAAAACAGGATTGCCACCAACGCTACCGCCACCAGTCAAACGAGAACTTTGTAGCAAAGAATCACTTCCCAGACTACTGGATTCATTGGAATTATCTGCAAGGCCACAGAATTAAGGGATAAATCATAATTTTGTTTAACTTGCCAAAATAAAAATATGAAAGATGACAGTTTATTTGCAATGGTGGTAGTAATTGCATTGACAGCCAGGCCTATGCGTCCGGTCATTTTTCTCTACGACAGCATTTCTGCAGATCACTTTCAGCAATCGGTATCGCATTGCCACCAACTTACCATTATTTTCCGACATTTTTGTTGTTGTTTTTATTTGTTATTGAACGCTTATTAAGAATACAAAATGGTTAAATTTATTAGATTCGAGGGAGTTTAATTCAAAACGGTACGCAGATTATGTCGATGTGAGAGGTGCCGATGTGAGTGATGGCTGAAAAAATTAAAAACGTTCCAACGGCTACAAAAGGGGAAGAAGAAAAAATGGCCGATAAAGAAAGAAAAAATGGAAAAAGAACATTTACGAATGAGCTGTGATGCGATGGACACCGCTTACGAAGCGTATTGTTGAGAAAGAGGCATGGGAGAATGACCGATTAGGGATACCGCAAATCGGCGGTAATGGCAGCACTATCGATAACAATTGTTGTTTCGAATGTCTAACTACTACTACGTTTTCACGGTCATTTGAACCAAGTTCAAAATGTATTTCGTACATGAATCAACCTGTTTATACGGAATTGTTCGTACTCATACAACTCTCGTACGACTCCCGAATAATCGGATAATAACATTTAAAGACTTGTATTTTGATCATGATAAAAATTGTAAAGTCGATTTAAATGGTTTTCGATTAATCATTGCGTTGGAATGCAAGAATGCAAACTTTTTTTGGTATCTGAAAAAATTGTAGATTATTTCAGTTCTAGAACAGACTATTGGTCCCGTACATCATGAATCTACAATTTTTCTACGATAACACTTTTTTCCTTTATGATATCGAAGAAAATAGTAAAATCTAGTAGATTCTTGCAGTACGGGAATATTGATCTGGATTTTTTACACAACATCAAGATCTATTAATAAGGTCACCAAGATAGCAATCGAAATCGGAAAACAGCTGTTTTTTCTCAAGTATAATGTCAAAAATTTCGACTTTGTTTACGTTTTCATAATGGAAGTCAATTCACAATAATGCATTTTGACAGCAAACTTGAGAGGTATCGATAATCAGCTGGTCTCCCTTGGTGACCTTATTTATAGGCCAAGCACAACATGAAGTGTAATATTGCGAACAACTACGCATCATTAACTCAAAAATATTTATTTAACCCTTTGACGTATCAATTAGCGCAACGAAGTTCGCTTCCAACTGTTAGCACACAACTTGCATTAGACTTTGTACTCAAATGCAAGAATTTTTTTTGTTCACATTATTACCTGAAAATAACGAGTTAGACTCGTGATAATCAATTTAGGCACAGAAATTGTACCACGAGTCAGACTCGTGGAAATACGTCAAAGGGTTAAAATAACTTATGATGCCTATACACTATACTGATGTACTGCTACTGGCGACGAGACCCTCAGTCAGCCCAATTTGAAAGACCATGTTAGGAGATGCTGTCTTCCATTTGATCTTTCGGATTTGTGGTCTTCCTATTTTGCTTGAACCATCATCTGTTTCGAATTTATATGCTTTTTGAGCTGAGACATCCTCATCCATTCTCATAACATGACCTAGCCAACGTAGTCGCTGCTGCTCGATAGTCTGACTATGTCATGTTCGAGAATAGATGGTACAGCTCATGGTTCATTCGACGGCGATTCTGGCGAGAGGTGGCCCTGTTTTTTAATTGCTTACTCAGACCATATTAACATCTCTTGGTCAACACTATTCTCCTTCGGGTTTCAAAGCTGATGTTATTAATGTTGTTTATGGCGGTACCGAGATATAAAATCGTTCCCTACCTCAAAGCTGTCGTATTCAAGTTCCACAGTTCAGACTCATTCTCAATTCGTTTAATGATGGCAGTTACCGCTCGCAATGTTCAGCCCATATGTCGATGTCGTCGGCGTAGGCGAGTAAAATGTACTGTTTGGTGTACAGAGTGCCCCTTCGGTTCACCTTTGCATCTCGTATGACATTTTCCAGTAGGATGTTAATCAAGTCACACGACAAACTATGACATTGTTTAAATCCTCGTTCGGTATTGGAGGGTTCTGTAAGGCCCTTTCCGTCTTTAACTGCTGATCTTGTGCCAGTTAAAGTTATCCTGCATAGCCCTATTAATTTTGCAGGAATACCAAACGCAGACATGGCTTTAAACACCCCTAAGCGGATTGGGCTGTCGAATGTGGCTTTTTAGTCGACGAATAGGTGAAATGTGTCCATGTGTTTTTCGTGGGTCTTTTGTGGGATTTGGCGTAGTGTGAAAATCTGGACTATGTTGGATCTGCCAGGTTTGAAGCCTGGTATGCTGCAATAATGTCATTGACCCTTGGATTCATGGCCTCTAATGCCAGAATAAATAAAAACAAATGCAAGAAGTCATTCTGTTCATTCGACATATTTTGGCCTTGTGGATAGATTACATGGTATTTTTTAATAACAAAAAAGCAACTATGTATGTGGTGGCTTCTTCTGCCAAATTAAAATAAATATAGGCAACAAGTGGTGGTGTTTATTGACATTTTTTCAACACATAACTAAAAACGCGAAAAAATAATGAAAGGTTATGGTTTCTTTCCAAAATCCGGAAGGGAATAACATGAATTATTTGTTTCATCCATAATAGTACGTTTACATTGTACCGGATTAAGTTAACTTAGTGGGTTTTAATTGCCAATTCCATTACACATTTGTCAAATAAATCCTCATAAATTAGGTTAACCCTGCAAAAAGTTCTAATGTACATCATGGTATAATAATAGAAGGTAACAGCAAGTGTTGTTGTACAACAAACGATACAACAACCACATGAAAATTTTTTGTTGTAAGTTATACTAGTGTCAACGTCACTTGACATAAAAATGTAAACAAACAAATTATCAACAAATTATTGGTTCGTTCCAGTTCTTTTTTAAATCACTCTCAGAGTACAAATATAAAAGTTCGGGAATGGAAATCTAGTAAATATTTCAAAATTAGATGACATTACTTCAAAATCAGAAAAATCCAACAGCCAATCAGAAGTAGGCATTCCTGTTTACCATTTTTACTCGGTTAAATTTCTCGAGTAAAAACTTTACAAAGAGAACGCCATTTTGTTTTGTGTTCTCTTAACATTGGTTGAAAATTTTACTAGTTTTGCGGGTTCAGGAACGGTTTTTGTAGAAAAAATTGCAAAATCAGTAGAAACTTTCAGGTTCTGGAACGGAACTTATATTTATTTTGAAAATGTGATATTTTTGAATCCTCAAAATAAAATTGAAAAACATGAATGAAAGTCTATAAAATTTATATTTCTATCGCTCATAATTGAGCCATTGCCACTTATATGTGTAACTCATATGAAAATGCTTATGGTGTTTTTACACGATATGTATTTTACATATGTGCTGTCACTTATTTCATCCATATGTAATTCCTTATGTGTGTCAAAATTAGCGGCGTACACAAAACATTTATTTTTGTGTTCAAATCGGCATATGTATTTTACATATGACAACCTATAAACAAAAAAATCACTTTTATTTTTTCTTAAATCAACATCTTTTTTTATTAAACACCTACAAACGAAATAATAATTTGTAATTGTTGCCTTTTCATCCTTTTCTTTGACTTGCAATTGAAATATTTTCTTCCAACAATGTGTTTCATTCAAACAGCTGATTTACTTATGTTTCACATACGAAAATAGAGCGCGTCCTATTCGGAAAAAAATACATATGTAATTGCATATCGTTTTGACACATTGAAATTTCCGTATGTTTCACATGACGAGTTCGATTTCCATATGCAAAAAAGTGACAGCACATATGTAAAATACATATCGTGTAAAAACACCATTAGAATTTCGAGTTATTCCATGAAGAAAGATTTGCTTCCTCGAACTTTCCCAGCAGGCAGATTGAGTAAATTGAATGCGGGATATTATTTAATAATGAACAATTTCAAATTGTATCCATTCTTAATTTTCCTGTTAGGTGATTTTTAAAAACCTTATTTGGCATATTCATATTGACACTATTATTACGTTGGAATCAAATCAGCTGGGTTTTGCTGTTACCTTTTATAATTGTACCATGAATGTACATGTAGTTTTATAAAGTAATTACTTCCAGACGACTAGTTAAAAACATATGATCTATTCCAGAAACTGCAAGAATTCCCAATTTTTTACTGCGATAACAATTTTCCGGTATAATATCGGAAACAAATATTACAAATTAGTAGATTCTTGCAGTACGGGAACAGTACAGGGTGCATATATTTCAATTTATTTGACATAGTATTCAAAACAATAAACACACATACACAATTGAGAACAAATTGTAATCAGTCGGTAGATTTTGCCCTACCTAGTAATAATTATACCATGGTAGATTTTCATTTATAAAAATAATTTGAAATTTAATTTTTTTTACATTTTACCAAAAAAAAACCGAAAGATGAATGGAATGTCGGAGTTTCTTTTCAAAATCGAGTTTGGAATACCCCAAAATCGAATATAATCATTCACAAATCATAAATTTCTTCTTACCAATGCTATACAATTCATCTCTAAACAAATGGATTTTAGAATAATGTCTTCAAATTCAAAATATGTCTTCCAATTCCAAAAATAAAATATTAAAAATATGTCTACGATTGTACCTAATGTACATGTTCATTCCAATAAGCAGCCTTTCCAATTGCATATTGTAAACAAACCCAGAGTTACTCTTCAAACGTATGCTATTTGTAATATATGAAAGCAACTGTGTGTATTAGTCTTACGTGTGAAAGAAGGAAAAAAGTAAATTTTTGAGCTAAAGATAATAAATAATACGCCAATATATTTGTAAATATATGGAAGATGTTCTGTTAGTACTTTTCACATTTCCAAAGATTTGATAACAAAACATCAGGTAAGTGGTCATTATCGTTGGGCAGACCCCAGCTGAACTGATATCCACGTCAGACATAAAGAAAACGACGAAATAAACGAAAAAAACAGCACCAAAAACCAACAAAAAAGGAAAACAAAAGTGCGAAAATCCCCTACAGTTTATCTATTTTATTGAATAAAATTATATGGGGGCTTTCACAATTTAACATAAAATTATCCCTTTCTATTTTGCAGAGCGACAGATAAGTGCAGCACCACCACAATGAAATTGGGCTTAATTGCCATTGGTATTTTGTTGATCGTACAGACAACACAATGGGAAACGGCAACAGCTGAATTACAAGGGCCGGAGGTGGTTTCACCATCCGCCGCTGCTGATGGTGGTTCTATTGCCACAGAGAAAGCAACATCGAATGGCGGTGATAAAGATGAGAGTGGTGGCGATAGTAGTTCAGCGAGTAAATCGGATCGGGAAACATCGGACAACGATGAAACAACAAATGAAATTCCCAGTAACTTGCGGAAAGCCGCCAAGTATATAGATGATCAAATGGAGGCCGCCAAAACGGCAGCTCAAATTGCTGCCAATATTCAAGGCACCGAGGCAGATGGCAAGAATAAGTTGCTTAAATTTGCTATATTCGAACGCCTGTGGAGTGAGGAGGTTGTCCGCAAGAAATTACAAGAGGAAATTGAGTTGCTCGAGGCAAAGCAACAACCACAAGAAATTATTGATCCAACACCGGAACAAGTTGAGGGTATGTAAATTATTTTTAAAAAGAAGGGGGACATTTTTAATGTTAATCATCTTTTTTTTAGCTGAAAGTATGTATGAAAATGCCATGGAAATGTTATCCAAACCCAATTCGGATAAACGTGTTGCCTTTACACTGATACGCAAAGCTGCCGAAATGAAACATAGTAAAGCTCGCGCCGAATTAGCATGGGCCAAAGTGTTGGGCCACTATATGGATTTTGATTTTGAATATGCAGCAAACGAGTTTGATGAATTGGCTAAGGAAGGTTTGCCCGAAGCAAATATGGTAAGACAAGAATACATATTAAAATCATTGATGAAAAATATTTACTAAATTTTAAACTGCGCTCTGGTTATTGTATAAAATTTTGCTTAGTATCACTTCGTGCATCGCAAAATCTTATATATTTATTCCAGACATTGTTTCTAAATTCCGCTCACTTCCCCAAAAATCGCAATTATTTGCTCTTTATAACCCGCTAAAGTTTCGGTATAATTCATAGTTCTGTTTTAGGTGCTTAAGCTGCATGATCTAAATTTAAATGATTACGTGTCATAAACGCTCATGGGATTATTTATGCAATAAATTACTGATAACAATTCTGTTCTTAGATTCAGTCTTATGCAGATTTATATATACCAACCACTAACCGATTTTGCATTCAAAAATATGTTCTTAGATTCAGTCTTATGCAGATTTATATATACCAACCACTAACCAATTTTGCTTTCAAAAATGTGTTTCATACATTCCATAATTTATTATATGACAGACTGCATTCTGCAATGACCTACGTACAATATGTCCAATATTTGTTATTTAAAATCATTCTCCATATACATTCGAAATTGTTTATAACGACATATCGGTTATAACGACGCCGGTTATATGTGATTTCAAATGTAATTAAACACGATCCCATTATTCTTGATTTAGAAATTGAAATTCTCGAACGAATTATCTGCATAGGTTTTTTAAAAAATCATTTAAAGTCAGTCGACTATATGGAATTTAAATTGATATTTTTCGTTTTGGTCCTACCTCCTCTCATTTGCTCCGATACTGCGTTCGGCATTCCAGCAAAATTAATAAGGCTATGCAAGATATCTTTAAATGGCGCAAGATCAGCAGTTAATATCGGAAAGGACCTCTTGGAGCCCATAAATATCGAACGAGGATAAGGACAAGGTGACAGTTTGTCGTGGGATCTTTTTAACATCCCGCTGGAAAAGGAAAGAATTTTGGCCCATCTCCTTATATTTTGTGTTTTTCGAGTTATCCCCATGTTAAAGAATTGTTAATGCTTTTTTCTAATGCGTTTATTTTCCTGATTCTAACTTCTACAAAAAATATAATGCTCAATAACATTTTTCATTTTTGTTTCCAGGGCCTTGCTTTCCTTTATTCCGTTGGTGTGGGTGGCAAAAATGTCAGTCAACCATTGGCCCTGATTCATCTAACCTTGGCGGCATTGGGTGATCATACATATGCTCAAATGGCATTAGGCTATCGTTATTCATTTGGCATTAATGTACCAGCTAGCTGTGAAAAGTCACTAACCTACTACAAAAAAGTCGCTAAAAAGGTGGCACAAAAAGTAACATTTTCCAGTGGTCCTTTGGTACATCGTGTCCGACTATTGGATGAATTGGAAAATCCAGGCAGTCAAGAAACAGAAATTGTTGACTATTATCAATTATTGGCCGATAAGGGAGATGTCCAGTCACAAGTTGGTTTGGGTCAATTGTACTATCAGGGTGGCAAAGCCATACAGCAAGATCATCAAAAGGCATTGGAATATTTTACGCTGGCTGCCAATGCCGGTAATGCCATTGGTTACGCCTTTTTGGGTAAACTCTATTTGGAAGGCAGCGAACATATCAAAGCGGACAATGAAACTGCATTTAAGGTAAGGAAAATAATTAGAATTAGTTTTTAAATATTATTTTAAAAATTTAATTTTTTGTGTTACAGTATTTCTCCAAGGCTGCCAATTTAGGTGACCCAGTGGGCCAAAGCGGCTTGGGTTTAATGTATCTTAAAGGTTTGGGTGTACCTAAAGATCCATTAAAGGCTTTAAACTATTTCACCATGGCAGCTGATCAAGGCTGGGTCGATGGTCAATTGATGTTGGGAAATATGTATTTCAGTAAGTTTTGAAAATTAATTATTTCTTAAAAAACTATTCATGTGTTTTATTTTTTTTAGCTGGTAATGGTGTTAAGGCTGACTTCAAACTGGCCCTTAAGTATTTCAATTTGGCCTCTCAATCCGGCCATGTTTTGGCGTATTACAACTTAGGTTTTATGCATGCTTATGGTATTGGTATGCTGCGTTCTTGTCCAGCTGCTGTAGAGGTAATTTAAATGTTCGATCAAAGTTATTTAAACCATCTCATTATTTTCTTCTTTATTTTATCGCCCTGTATCTTTCAGTTCTTCAAAAATGTTGCTGAGCGCGGCCGTTGGAGCACAAATCTGATGCATGCCTATTCGGATTATAAAAATTATCGCATCAATGAAGCCTATATGCAATATGCCCTATTGGCAGAATTAGGTTATGAAGTTGCTCAATCAAATGCTGCCTTCCTTTTGGATCGTGGTGATGTTTCCATATTCCATGATCGCAATGAAGAGTTAATTAGAGCATTTTACTATTGGAAGCGTGCGGCATCACAGGGCTATTCGGCGGCACAAGTTAAATTGGGCGATTATTACTATTATGGCTGGGGCACAAATGTTGATTTCGAAACAGCGGCCGCTTTATATCGCAAGGCATCGGAACAACAATATAACGCACAAGCAATGTTTAATTTAGGTTATATGCACGAAAAAGGTCTGGGCATGAAAAAGGATTGGCATTTGGCAAAACGTTTGTATGACTTGGCTGCCGTAACAAATGCTGATGCTAAAGTTCCAGTGGCAATAGCGCTGTTGAAGTTGCAGCTGTTGGCCAAAATTGAATCGATAAAAGAGGTATGTTTCGATTTGTTACCCATTGAAATATAAAATATTTATATATGTCCCCTGAACTCTTCTATAGGAGATTGTTACAATTCTTCTGTATATTGTACACCTTCAGAAGCTCAAAAATATTATAAAAACTCTTGTATTGGTAGAAGCCATTGAGCTCTTCCTCTGTATATAGTACACCTCCAGACACTTAAAAATATTTAGAGATTCCCTGCAGAAGCTCTTGTATTGGTAGAAGCCCACGAGCTCTGGTATAGAAGATTGAGGCAATTCTTCTGTATATAGTAAACCTTAAGAAGCTCTTTTATAGATCGAAGACATTCAGAATAGAAAGACGAACTTCAGAAGCTGTCGTACAAATAGATGACTTTTTAAATCACTGTCATAAATACAAGACCTTTAAAAGCTTTTTTGTAGATACAGAGGCCTACAAAAGCTCTAAAATACAATGTATTAAGATTTGATTCTTTAGATAAAATACCTTCAGAAGTTCTAACGGTAATATACGTTTTTTAGGAACTCTTCTATATATAAAAATCCCTTAAGGGTCCTGATAACGATACTAGATCTTCTGAAGCTATAGATGGCAGAACTTTAGAGACTGTTCTATAAATGAAAATCTTGTGTAGGCAGAATCCCTTCTATAGACAAAAGACCTTCACAATATCTTAATAGAAGTCTATTAACATAAGCTTTTCTAAAATAAATGACCTTCAAAACCTTTCAAGACTTCCAAACGTTCTTCCATTGATTAAAAACCTTCAAAAGCTATTCTATTGATAGAATCCCTTTGGGAGCTCTTCTATAGACAGAATACCCTTAGGCGTTCTTCTATAGATATTAGGCATTCAGATGCTCTTCTAAAGACATATGGCCTTTAGAAGCTCTGGAATGGGCATGATACGTAGAGAAGCTCTCCTTTAAATAGAAGACCTACAGAAGTTATTATATAGACTAACGACCCCTTTTTTATACCTCATCTATATTTAGAAATCATTTGGCTGATTTTGGTAGGTATAACTTTTGGAAGCTAAAAGTATAACCTTTAGAAGCTTTTCTCTAAGTGTATAAAACAGAGCTTTATAAATACTAATATGGAAGACCTTCAGAAGTTCTTATATAGACTAAACTTTAGAACCTTCAAATATAAACGAAAAAGCTTCATAAGCTCCCATATAACCGAATGAGCTTTATGAGCACTCATATAGATTAAAGTCCTATTTTATACCTTCAAAAGCTCTTCTATAGTTAGAAAATCGATTGCATGATTTTGTTTATACCTTTAGAAGCTCTTCTCTAGGTGGAAGACCTTTAAATATAATCAAGAACTTCATAAGCTCTCATATAAGACAGAGCTTTATAAGCACTAATATTGAAGATTTTCAGAAGTTCTTATATAGACTAAACTCCTATTTTATACCGTCAAAAGCTCTTCTATATATGATTTTGTTTATAGCTTTAGAAGCTCTTCTCTAGGTGGAAAACCTTCAAATATAAACGAAAGAGCTTCATAAGCGAAGGAGCTTTATGAGCACTCATATAATAAAAATGGCCTCAAAAGCCATGACCTTCCAAAGCTGGTATATAGATAGAGGATCTCCTAAATATTTTCTAAAGATAAAAGACTTTCATGAACTCTATAGGAGATTTTGCAGCTTCAATAGATAGAAAACTTTAAATGTAAAAGAAAAAGCTTCATTCCGAAGCTAGTAAGGTGCTCTATAAATAAAATGTTTTCATAAAGTCTTCCATAGGAGCTATAACAGCTTAAATATGGAAGACCTTCCGTAGCCCTTCTTTATTTAAAATACCTTCAGAAGCTACTTTATCCATAAAAGCTTTTAAGCTCTTCTATCGATAGAAGCGTTAAAAGCTCCTTGATCTGTATAATATTTGAAAGCTCTTCAATCAACAGAAGCATTAAGACCCTTCAATCGATATAAGCTTTTAAAGATCTTCTATAGATAGAAACTTTTAAAGCTCTTCTGTAGATGGAAACTTTTAAAGCTGTTATGTAGGTAGAAGCTTTGCTATACATAGTAGCTTTTAAAGTCCTTCTTTACTTAGAAGCTTTTAAAGCTCTTTATTGATAATCGAATTTTAAACTACTTCTATAGATAGAAGCTTTTAGAGCATTTATATAAAGACGACATTCAGAAACCCATTGATAAAATAACTTGACCATCTCTCCTATATACAACAAACATTCAGATTTTTTACCTGATTTTTAAATAAAATGTTCGCCATATCATTTTCTCCCCATTTTAGTCACCCTATAAATTCATCTTTTACTTGGACGAAAATATTGCTGCCAATTGGGATTTGTATATGATTACGATATTAACGCTGTTGCTTGGTTTCATAATGTATACACGGCGAACCCATGAACAACGTCAACAAAATCAGGGCGACAATAATCAAGTTCAAGCGCCAGATAATGTTAATCCAATTAATAATGATAATGTTGTGCCAAATGGTAGTGGTGGTGCAAATGACAGCAATGACATCGCAGCTACTGCACCATCCTCAACAACAACAACGACTGCAACAGCAACGGGTACAGTCAGCAGCTCAACAACATCAGCGACAAGTTCTCCAACATTGAATACGACGACAACAACAAATTCGACATCCATATCCACAGCGGCGTCGTCTTCAACGACGAGCACAACGACAACTAACAACACATCTCCAAAACCAGCATCAACATTACCCTCAGCTGCTTCGAACTCCACCGCTGATCCCACGGAGTAATAGTGATAATTTATGTTTTAATTTCTTTTTTGTTTTATAATTTTCTCATAACATGAAGACAAAACAAATACTACAAATTGTTTAGATTGCAAATAAATAACAAACAACCCAACAACATGTCGCCTCGTGTTAAATAGTCAGTCAGTCAAAATGACATCATCCTGTAACTCTGCTTAAATTAAAAATTTCGAAACAGAAATTGAAACCTCCTTTGTTTTACCTTAATTTGGAACAAGAAGATAATTACTGTCTGATGTTATGTATGTACATATATATATTTTGTGACTTTCCGAAACTACTTCGTTTTGCAATATAAACCCCATACTGTTAGTTATTCCCTTTTAGTTTAGTTCTCGATCTTAATTTGAATATAAAGGAACGGCCCTGGAGTTATAAACTACAATGCAACAAAGAACAACTACTAATATTCTTTGTCATTTGTTGTGTATATTTTTTTTAAATGATAAATATATAATTATTTACCCTTAGTGTGAGATAACAAATTGCAAAATTTTTATTTTGAGTTTATTATATATAAAATAATTATAAAACAAACAAAAAAATATTTCATTATTTTTCTAACATTATGTCAAAGAAGAACTGAAGGCGTATAATAATAAAAAGAAAATATAAAATTAAGTTAGTTTGTGTTTTTTTATTTACTCTATTATAGTAAAAAGGTTATTTTGAAAATCCTTGAAATATTCATCTCAAACTCTATTAACGAACAATGGAAAGACAAAAAGTAACCAGTAAACTTATTGAAAATTTCGTCGATGCCCTTCTATCCATTTTGTAAATATATATCCAGCCTTATTCTGAATTTTAATTCGCCGCGAATTTTCTTCCTTTCGTGTCTAGGTTGCACTTTCCTAACCACCTTAGGTTTCTAATGATGATGTAGATTAGAGCAGGCTTCGTTGTTGAGAAGACTCGGTGGAAAGTGAGCACCCACTAGGAAATACTCAGTTGTCTCCGTCTTCTCCTCGTCAATGCAGAGTCTACAGTAATCAGTAGCATCATGGTCCCATTTACTGGTAAAGGCCCTGATATTGCAATGACCAGTAGTGAATCCTTTCATTACTCTTATTTCAGCTTTGCTCAGGTTCAACAGTGAGTGTATCCTTTTGGTAGACAGAGTCGGCCAAATAGATCTTGACACATTGCACCTAGGTCCATTGTGCCAAAGTTTATAGGCTCTTTCGTCGAAGAGTGCCACAACGTTCCGATAAAGATGACATATGGTTGGTTTGTTTCGTCTGCTCTTTCATTACCCATGATGTCATGGTGTCCTGGTAGCCAACACAGCCGACAGCTGTAAGTAAGGCCTTCCAAAATTGTTCTACACTTGAGGACGGGCTCAGATTTGTTGTTACAGGATTTGATGGCTTTAATAGCTGATTGACTATCCACAATGATAGTCACCGGTTCAACGACCTCTGTATCCAGACTTTTTATCAATTCGGCTGCCTTCAGCTTGGAAAACACTACAGTTGCTATCCCACTTGTAGGTAAATTCAAGGCCTAGCCTTGACCCTGTATCTTCTTCCATCTTGGATCCGTCTGTATATAAATCCAGACCGTCCAGAGGAGGGTTACTTCGATTCCAGTCGTCTCTTCTAGGAATAACGACATCTAAATTGTCAAATCTTAGGATTGGTGAAATATAGTTGCGTTGGTCCAATGTCATAACTGGTTCGTTTAAGATACAACCATATCCAAAGGTACAACTTCGCCATAGATTTTGTTCATGCAGCCTTAGGGCACTACGAGCGACCTGACACTTAATGCTGAGGCCAGGAGGCCTTAAGTTCAGCATTGCGTTCAGAGCTGCTTGTGGTGTGCTCCGCGTAGAATCGAGGCGACTCTTTGCAACCCAATTAGAACACTTAATTAAAGCATAATAAATTAAGAAACGAGTTTGGAAGGTTGCGTTATATGAGGAGCTACACTAAAAAGTGAAGAAATACTTATAATTTTTGGTGGATACATTTTTTACGCTATGAGAACCCCTAATACCAACATACATCCAATTCGTTTGAATATGCTAAAAAGTGGATCCCATTATTGATAATTTTTGGTAGAATGATTTTCTCCCCAATGAGAACTCAAAAACCAAATTATATCCAATTGACATGAAAGGCGTGCACAATATTCTCAAAATTTCGAAAAATGGGAGGTACCTTTGTGTGGGAACTATTTAAAAACTTGTACCGATAAATTCCATTTTTAACACCAAACTTCCTAGGAAAATACCAAGTATGTAACATATTGCGAGCACTATCACGATTTCAACGGACGGACATTATAAATTTACATAGAATTTTATTTGGATCCAGTACGTTACTCTCTTCGAGGGATATCCAACTCATCAACCAGACATTTCTAAATCAATTTCAAACTATTTTACATGGATTTTGTCCAAAGACCTTAACTCGATATTTCGATGAGGCTCATTTTGGTCGTACCCAAGTTTATATTAGGACTATAACCATTAATCGTCATAAAGACTCTCAGAGGTTCACCTCATTCTTCGGTTTTACATTAGTTTGATGCCAAAGACCTATCAGTTCACTATTTCTGGTACCTCCCTCACAAACATTCCTAACATATATTTCTTTAAAGCAACCCCTTCTAGTACATCTCCATAGATGTTCAACAATTTGATAAGAAACATATACCTTATATAAAAAGAAAAATATCTTTAATACGAGAGCTTTCGGTATTCTAGAATATGGCCTTCTGGTCTTTTATAAGAACACCTTCTGGTCTACTATAAGTTAGTTTGAGGAACCTGGGTTCATAAGCTTTAAACCTATCTGACCGGAGTTTTTACACTCTAGTTCACTATTTCTGCAACCCCTTCTAGTACATCTCAACAGATGTGCAACAATTTGATAAAAAAAAACACATATACCTTATATAAAAGGAATAATGTGTAGTAATTCCTAGGTCCGTCGAAAGTTATACAGAGATAATCGCGGATAAGGGATTCGTTTTAATCAAGAAGAATGTCAAATTCTTTCAGAAGTTTACAAGAATATATCCGATTTATATATGAGAGACTTCAAGATTGAATGGATTCTTACCTCCCATCGGTGGATGTTAATTAGACTCACCTGAATACGGCTAGGAAAATGGAACCGGTGATCTCTCTATTCAACCTTAACTTTCGAGGTTTACTTAAAGTTTGGACTGGTCCACTTTTTTTACGATCACTGAATTGCCAACAGTAATGAACATTTTCGAGAATGCCTGATGATTGAAAAAACATGCTCGATCGCACAATCAAACAAGCTCAACAAATTAGCGTTAATAATGCACAGTTATGTATGATCAAACATGCTCAACAAATTAGCTTTAATCATGAAGTCTTGTACCGCTTGTCAACTTATAGTAATTTAAAACATACCAAAATTCTTCAGCCTCCTCCATAGAAGTTAGTATGTCCCAAGGTGGTAAATATTACAATTCCATGAGGAAGTTGCTCAAAAACTTCACCCATGGGATTAAACACTTTCCATTAAGAACTCGTCACCATCAATTGTCCATCAGTTGATGGATAATTTTTTGCAGTTGGTTATAATATATTTCATTGGCAAATATTGTCGATATAAGTCCTTTTTGTATATACCCGATTCCGAACCATTTTCAAATGTATTCTATTTGGGAACAACTCCAGATCTCCAGACCGAAAAACGATATACTATTTACTATCAGTTTTTATAATAGTGTTGTTACAATTGACAAATTTGATGACACACAATTTGTTGTACAATAAATCGTACAATGTGAACATCGATTAGTGACAATAAATCTGTACCGATTACCGTTTGAATGGTAATGTTTTGATTTTGTTGACAATACAACTTCACGTGGTGGCACACAATTTATTTACTTTATTTTTAACTAAAACAATTATTTTTAATATTTTAATTAAATATAATAATGAAGGAAAAGGTAGAAATCGAAAAGGTATATAGTCGTAAGAAAAATGGAGTTGTACCCACATTGAGTAAGTCTTCATAGAGACATGTTATTTGAAAATGTGTTAATATTTTATTATTGTTTTTGTTTTTAGTGAAATTCCAAAATGGAAAATTATCCGCCTTCACAAAGGAAAATACAAATTTTACACGTTTAAGGTGTAATGAAGATAGTGCCAAGTTTGGTGCTTTATTGGCGGCCAATGGTAATCTATATCATGGAATAATTAACAATAGCGAAGCTAATGAACTGACCGATACGTATATTTGTGTTCGGAATAAGAAAACGAATAAGGTATGCTTGCTTCTAAAAAATAATGATTTTCAGAGGGATCCTTAGGAACAAGCTAATGTAAAACCGAAGGCCAGATAGTCGTTATGAGGTTCAATGGTTATAGCCATCATCGAAATGTCGAGTTAATGTCTTTGGACAAAATACATTTAAAATAGTTTAACATTAATTTAGAAATGTCTAGTTGATGAGCTGGATATCCCTCGAAGGGAGTAACGTATTGGATCCAAACATGGAAAAATTTAGATCTCAAATTAGATATCCTATGTGAAAAAACTGAGGACGCCTTAATATTTATATTCAAGCAATGTTAATGTTCAGCCACTATAATTTACATCCAGCGAGGTATAGGCAATTATTTCCAAATCCAATCCATCCAAAGCCCTTGGTCCAGACGTCATATTCATGTTCATGTTAAAGAAGCTTGGATCAATAGCCCTTGCTATCTGACCAAAGTTCTCAAGTTATCGATGTCACAGTTAGTAATTCCTGCCATTTGGAATGGAGCCCGCATTATTCCAATTCTAAAACCTGATAAATCCACTACTAATGGGGAATCCTACCGTCCGATTTCCCTTCTGTCACCAGTAGCCAAGTTTTTAGAGTCTCTATTTCTTCCGTCCCTGAAACAGCATATCGTTCTTGCTACCACCAACACGGTTTCAGGGAATCATATAGCACAATGACGGCTTTGCAAGAAATTACTTCCAAGATTGCGAATGGCCTCAATCAGCCACGACGACCTCAACGGACCATTGTGGCAGTAAAGGCGTTTGATACAAATACTTCCGAGTGATATCAAGCCTTGGCTTGCCACCTACCGTGGCCATAAATCCAATTCTCGCAAGATAAAAAAGGGAATACCACAAGGCTGTGTCCTATCTCCCATTTTGTTCAAAATGTATTTTGCGAAACTCCCCATTTCTCCACCAGATGTTTCAGTGGTGTCGTACGCCGATGACTGTAAGATTATTTTGTCCGGCCTTAACATTGAAGGCGTAAGTGCAAGAATTTCGAACTATTTAGCCACCATCACCAACTTCTTCCGGGAGCGCAATCTAAAATTATCCACTGTAAAGTTCTGAAAGCTTTGGCTGGCACCTCCTGGGGCAAGGATAAAGAAACGTTGGTAACGACTTATAAGGCTATAGGTCGTTCCATCCTGAATTATGCTGTCCCAGTCCATCCTGAATTATGCTGTCCCAGTCTGGACTTCTTTCCTTAGTGACACACAACCAAAACAACGCACTCCGAATTGCAACCTGTTGCGTTCAGATGACGAGCGTCGATCACCTCTATGAGGAGACCAGGATGCTGTAAGTCAAGCAACATAATGTGTTGTTGACTAGACAGTTCCTGCTGGCATGCTATCTGCCGTGTCGTATATTTATTTTATATTTTAGAAGAAGAAGCCACCACCTACATAGTTGATTTTTTGTTATTCAACTCACGCTGCCCTACCTTGTATTATTGTACCATGGGTCCCCCTTAAATAACTGTAACTCAAAATTTCGATATTTGCGATAATATGACACGTTTTCCAATCAAATTGGCCATAGTTCAGTATTTTTGTTCCTCATTAATTAGAAAATCTCCCTACCAATACATATCAATATTGCCTTAAGTTTCGGGATAGGTTCCATATATGGGTATCCCCCCATATTCAGACTCATTGAACCGAACTGACACTAATTTGATATTTTAGGTTCTTATTGGTTGTCGAATCTTCCTACAAAAAATTTATGACGGCATAGTCCTGATGCTGGAGGATATAAAAAGTTTTGAAAATCCAACAGGATTCGTATATATTGTTTAACCATAGATTTGTGTTTAGTCGGAAACCTGCCGGCAATTTAAACTACTGCATAGACAAATTCATGTATTCTCTTCTGCAGAACTTGTGATAATTTTAGTTTTTTCCTCGATTTATTTTTTCCAGATGACTATCATACCCATCGATCAGGTTAACTTCAAAAATACCATCTACGGAGAATTGGATCAAATCAAGAAGAGCGATCTGTCGGAACAGGTTACAAAAATGACACTATTAAAGAAATTCGGTGGTCGAAAAGCATCACGTTACGTTAACGATCAAGAACAAATGCGAATGGATATTGCTGTCGTTGAGGATAGTTTGAATCAAACAGTGAATGAATCAATGCTGCTGGATAACGAAGAAGATGAAGTTGATAATACTAAATATTTCGATAGTATACGTCCACCATGCAATAAGGATGCCGATAAAGTTAGTGATATTTATGAAATGTCCGATGTTATCCCCAGCGAACTTATGGATCGTTTGGAAGAGGAGGCGAAAACGGTTTATCAAACCAGTATAGATCAAATACCGTAAGTTAAGAAATAAAGAAATTTTTCAGAAAAATTAAATAACTTCCAAATTAATATTTCTTATATTTTTAGAATGACTTCGGAATATTTGAAACAACTAATTGCTGATATACAACAAAGTACGAGCAGTGTTGAAAATTTGCAACGTATCAAAATTATTTTATATATGGATTGTTTGCTGAATTTGATCAAATCACGTGTACGATCATTGAAGAAAGCAGAGCTTTCAAAAATATCCGAGAAAATCGAGAATAATGTACGCGATCGTTTTGCTGATCCTAATTCTAGTGTTAGGTAAATGTACTTTTAAAAACATTTTTAAAACAGATTTCATTTCTATATAATTTCGTTCTTTTTTAGTGGTTCCCGTACTGTTTTCTCTACGGAAAAGGCCCTGTGTCATTTCATAGTTATGGCACTATTAGTTAGTGGTAACTATCAAACAGATGCTGCTATTTTGTCCCAGGAACTTAATGCCCCACGTGCCAAAATAATGAAATACGCTCACATCGTATATGCATTGCCCAAATCACGTTCATCAATATTAACTTTAAAAGCACCAAAGAATGTTCCACCGCTGCCAACTAAATTTTCCCGAAGAAAGAAGGAATAACGGGGGTATATAAAAAATGGTGTAGTTAATTTGTTTAATTTTACTAATAAAAGTTTTATTTTAAACAAAATATTTTTTGAATTTACTTCATTTTTATTTATTGATAATTCAACAAAGTCTTTTGTCTGCTGGAGAATCTTTAGATATTCTATAGAATTTCAGGAAACCAATGTTTTCTTCGGACACAACAAAACAGCTAAAAGAAGTTTTCCGGTCTTAAAATTCTATAACATATGTATATGATTTTCCATAAGAAAATCTTCGCAAGAACTATTTGTCTTCTATGGGAATACCTTCCTGTCTTCCGTAAGGAAACCTTAAGGTCTTTTATAAGGAAACCTTCTGCTCTTCTAGTCTTCAATAAGAATATGTACCTTTCTTTTTTCTATAAGCAGACTTTCTGGTGCTCTAAAAATACCTTCTGGTCTTCTATAAGGAAACCTTCTGGTCCAGTGGTCTTCAATAATAAGAAGACCTTCTGTTTTTTTATAAGAAGATCTTCTATACGAGAGTTTCTGGTATTCAAGAGGAAGGCTTTCTGGTCTTCTATTAAGACACCTTGTGGTCTTCTCTATAATAGTTTGAGGAACTTGGGTTTATAACCTTAAAACCTATCTGACCGGAGTTTTTACACTCCAGATCTACCTCATTGAGATGCCGTATATAAGGTCTATCTTATATCTATAAGAATCCCTTTTGGATTTCTTTAAGAAGACTTTTGCGCTTCTTTAAGAAGACCTTTTGATCTTCTATAAGGAGACCTATTCTGCTATTAGAACACCTTCTGGTCTTCTATAAGACCTTCTTCTATAGGAACACCTTCTGGTATTCTATATAATTGTCTTTGACAGGAAGACTTTCTGGTCTTCTTTTGTTGTAGGACTTGCATCTGTTGCCATTTATGGCTTCGGAGACCGCCAGTAGATGCACGGATTTCATCGCTTTCGATAATCTGTTGACGTCCGATGGAATGACGTCTTGGATGCCATCACGATAGCGCCTGAAATCCTGGCCGTTGCGTCGCGGAGGCGGATATGCATGCCAGCAGGAACTGTCTAGTCAAGCAACACATTATGTTGCTTGACTGACAGCATCCAGGTCTCCTCATGGAGGTGATCGACGCCGTCATCTGTACACTGCTGGTTGCAATTCGGAGTGCATTATTTTGAGTTGTTTGCAAGGATCTCCATTGTGTGTCACTAAGGAAAGAAGTCCAGCAAATAATTGGAACGACCTATGGCCTTATAAGTCGTAATTAACGTTTCTTTATCTTTGCACCAGGAGATGCCAGCCAAAGCTTTCAGAACTTTATTCCGGAGAAACGGGGAGTTTCGCAAGATACATGTTGAACAAAATGGGAGATAGGACACCGCCTTGCGGTACCACTATTTTAATCTTGCGATATTTGGATTTTTGGCTACGGAACTCAACGAAGGCCTGCCACACATTAAGGTTTGATATTACGCTTGATATCACTCGTAAGGGTGGAATTTGTGATGTCGGATATCAGCTCGGAATGATCGACCACAATGGTCCGTTCAGGTGGTCGTCGCTGATTGAGGCCATTCGCAATCTTGGAAGTAATTTCTTGCAAAGCCATCGTTGTGCTATATGATTCCTTGAAAGCGTGTTGGTGGGAAGCAAGAACGAAATGCTCTTTCAGGGACATAGGCAATAGAGACTCTAAAACCTTGGCTACTGTTAACAGAAGAAAAATCGGGCTGTAGGATTCCCCATTAGTAGCGGATTTATCTGGTTTTAGGATTGGAATAATCCGGACAACTTTCCAAATGTCAGGAATTACCAACTTTGCATCGATAACTCGAGAACATTGGTCAGATAGCCCAGCCCTATTGCTCCAAACTGCTTTAACATGAACATGGATATGCCGTCTGGACCAAGAGCTTTGAACGACTTGGATTTGGAGATAATTGTCTCTACTTCGATGGATGTAAATGATAGTGGATGCAAGTCTCTTTTAAGATTCTTAGATCTGCGGATAACTGCTCGCTTGGTCTTGGATGATCAATGTATTGGCGGCAGAACTGCAGTGCACATTTTTGGGCATCAGAATGTTGGAGGTTATTGAAGGAAAAAGCAGGTAGATTTTTATTTAGAATCAGATAGACTCTTAATTGTTAAGGTGTTCTAACCATTTAGATCGCCTGTGTTCAAGGACTAGAGCATCTATTTCAGCGCTAAGCTGCGGGGTTCTGTCGTCAGCGGGGCATTCGGCACAGAAGTCGAGTCGCTTATTTTAATCTGTTCAAATTTTTGTAAATGTAAAAAAATCGGAAGTGACTATTAAACAATTACATATTTTAAAATTTACAATCTTTCCACTATGGCACAAATATTTTTCAATTCGTTCAACAATACATTTTGTTGTGGTGCGGTAGAATGAATTATTTCATTTGCCCATCATGGTACCTACTACATGGTAGTTAGGTACTGTGTCAATATAAATAATAAACAAATACATCACCCACGTTAAAAATAACAACTTACGTGACATGATACAGTGTGCATAAAATATGAATGAGGTGGAGGAGAATTCCAAAACCCACAATATTTATGCGTTGCTATGATTATTATTCAATTCCGCATAATAATGTAAAAAATAGACAATTAGAATTGCGTTGTTTTTTATTTTTTATTGATAATTTATTTTTATTATTTTCTTTGTTTTTTTTTATAATTATTTATATATGTATAAGATTAGTTAAGAATTAGGATTACTAGACATAAGAAAATAAAAAAATTAAATAAAATATCAACTGTGTTTTATAAAAATCGAATAAATGAAAAAATAAGAATAAGAAATTTTGAAAACGCTAACAAAATGTGAGTGTGTGTGAGTTTAGAAGAGTAATTGTTATTATAGGTGATTTATAATTTGTATACGCAATTATGTTTTAAAAACTCTATTTTATATTTATAGATTTAGTTTTTTATTCGTTTTATATTCTTTTTTTCTCATTTTGTTAGGTTACAAAAATACATTTTTTCCATTTCTCACATATTCGCCTTTTTATGATTTTGTTTGTTTATTGTTTTAATTATTTATAAACTACTATAATTAGAGATAATTTAAATTTCCAATATTTATGGATTTTTTTTTTATTTTTTGCATAAGAGAGAAAAAACAAAGCCACTACTTTGTAAGTTGTTGTCTTGTGGTGTTTTCTTTTTTTGTGTTTTATTGCTGCTGTAACAGCATTGAGTGATGATGGCTTGGGTTTTTAGTTTGTTGATATTTTTAGGTGATTTTGCTGTGGTGCTAATTTTAGCTAAAAATTTGTTGCTAAATGTAAATTCGCCAAAATAGTTTTGGTATTTAGTATTCTTTCTTTCACATTACAAAATTTGATCGTTTATAACCCTTTAAAAAAAAAGTTAGGGTTTGTTGTTGGAAATTAAATTTTGGAATTCTACAAAGAGTCTCTCCATCCCTCCCCTTAAAAATTTAACGAAACATCATATGGTTGTTGAAAATCAATAATAGGTGCTCTTGCATTTGCAGCTGCCAAAAAGATATTGAATACCATTTTCATACATTAATGCATACTAGTTGTTGTTGTTATCGATTAATTGATTTTCTTCTCAACTATAAAAAAACAGAACCGTAATTTTTTTCAAAATGTTTCATTTTCTATTCATAGAAAAGAAAAACAAACATAGCTTACAATTTAAAGGGAAATTTTAACATACTATCCATCCATTCAGCTTATACAGCCAAACCAAACACCGACACAATACAGTACATGGTCTTGTTTTCCCAACGCACTGTGCAGCTGCCATCGGTGTCATTGTTCCAATAACATGAACTGGCTGTATGTAGGCCGGCACCATTTTTCTGCATTATCATGGAGGTGACTATGTATTTGTAGGGCTTTTGCTCCTTGGTCAGCATACTGAGACAATTCTCCACCACCTGGCCGGTCCAGTGGTTTACCTTGTCGTGCTGGTAGGCGTTGCCACCGATGGTACTTTCGATAGCTTCCTTGATGATTTTGCTTACATCATCTACAATGAATTGGTTTTCTTCGCGTGATTCATCCATGTCGCGGTGTTGTGTGTGTTCTTTGCTCAAGACTTTTGCCTAATTTGGTGTTTTGCACAGATTTACGATTTTTTCCTTTTGATTAGCTTCACCACCAAGCGTCGTGCACGATTTTTTGTTTGTTTATTTTATTAGTTGTTGTTTTCGTTATGTTTTTTTGTTTGCAAAAACCTTCACCCGTATTTTTTGCGTGCAATCGAATTTTCCGGAACGGAGTAACTTTTTGTTTGTTGGAATGCAGTACGATAAAAACTCAAGCTTGTGGCGTTTTTTTTCTACTTGTTTGCCAGCTGTCAATTCTTCTTGATTTTTTTCTGTGAGTAATGTCAAAATTGTGCGACGTATGACAAATGGAATGTGGCGTTGCGTTGTACGCCAGCGTTTGTGAAGTCGTTGAAGGGTTTCAGAAACACAATACAAACGTCTGGGCGATTAAAATAATACAGCAACGTTTACATTTCTTAATGGTAAAACTTTTCCACTCGAAGCGAAGGCACAGTTATAGACTAACAACTGAAGGAAATCGTTATAGACGAGTTAAAGGGAGTCTTACATAGACGAGCTGAAGGGAGTCTTTCATAGACGAGCTGAAGGGAGTCTTTCATAGACGAGCTGAAGGGAGTCTTTCATATACGTGCTGAAGGGAGTCTTTCATAGACGAGCTGAAGGGAGTCTTTCATAGACGAGCTGAAGGGAGTCTTTCATAGACGAGCTGAAGGGAGTCTTTTATAGACGAGCTGAAGGGAGTCTTTCATAGACGAGCTGAAGGGAGTCTTTCATAGACGAGCTGAAGGGACGTCTTTCATAGACGAGCTGAAGGGAGTCTTTCATAGACGAGATGAAGGGAGTCTTCCATAGACTAGCCAAAGGATTCTGGTTATGCTATGCAAATTTGTCTTAAGGTGTGGCCAATCTATCTCCATGGATTGGCTGCGCATCCCGCAGGTTAATCTGCAGGATGCGCAGGCTTTGCCGCTTCCCTACTCCTATTGTGTTACGGTGGATGTGCACAGTCGAAACCGAACCCATCCTGAACCGAAGTTCAATTTTCCCTCACGCTCTCTGAGATAGGCCTCCCCCGATGGGTCAACTGCTACCCTTGCGACCATCCCCCATTCTCATTGCAAGGAGATAGACTGATAACAGTCCAGCTCGATGTAGTGAGGTTGGGATTTTGCAAGACCAACATTTTCAGCAGGAGTTCCTTGTCCACTGAAGGTGGGGAAACCAGGCTGAGAGGATCCGTATGTTTGGAATCTCAGATAGGCAGACCGCAGCAAGGTTGGCTCCTTCCCAGACTGCACCATAGCCGTCAACAGATTTCACAAGGAAATGTCTCGATTTCCTGTTCAAGAAGTTTATGACTTTGGCGCCCTTCTGCATGAAGGCACTGCCAAACTGACGATCCCCTGATCCGACCCACCGACCGAAGGGCTCCTTCAAAGAGCAACCAATGACAGTCACTAATCCTAGAAGGCTATTCAGCAAATTTCATTGCTCTGCAGTGTGGTCGGAATAGGAAGACGGGCAAGTCCGGCAAGGAACCATCGTCTCCTGAGCGCTTGCCGTTCTTGCCCTTCTTCCTATTCTGACCACTTTAGCACCAACGGCTTCACCTTTGTCGCTAGGCGTAGAATCGAGCTTTGAGACAGAGCCCTCCACACGTTGATCGCCTTTATGGATTCGGGTTAGGCTTTGAATCAAAAGTCTCCTTGGAGATTTTTGATCGAACTGTTAGATTCAGGAGGGAGATCCTTTCCATCTGGAGCTTGCGATGGATAGCGTGCGGATAAATTCTTTCGAACTTCCGTATGAATCTCATCTTGCCCTTGATGAGGTGAACCTCCCTCTCTGAAAGCAAATTCGCGTCTCGCCCCACGAATTTGCGAAGATACAAAACAGCACGTTTGTAGTGCTTCGCATCAGACACTTCTCGGGCATTTCGGAACTTTGAGCCGCTGTCCGTTGCTGTGGTCTCGATTGATTTCCCATCATCGGACATCTGTCGCAGATTGCCTCTGAAGTTTATTGTCGGCAAGTGCGGACACAGGGCCTGTTGGAGTCAGACTTGAATCCGGTTGATCAACAGGGTCTACGCTTCCTTCGTTGAATCTACAACAATCCTCCTGTGTAGACTTTGCCAGAATTGTCGTGGTGTCCAGCTCATCATCAGTTAGGGTAAGATTTAGTAGCAGTTCCTCCGGAAGACTGTCACCATTAATTCGGAGCGTAATGGCCATATTTTAATAACTTGGGGAACATGTGACTTCATCAAGACGGTGCCACATGCCACACAACTCGAACGAATATGGTTTTATTGCCTGCAACAGTTCGCGTGGAGGTCTTTCAAAGGAAAAATATTTTATTTACGTTTACTTTTTAAACCATGAAATATATAACCCAACACATTTATCAAACACAGTTATCAAAGATGCCGAAGGCGGTCATTTTGACCGCTTTCCAATTTCAAGTACAAAAGCAACTGTGCATTTAATGACACTTTTTTTTAATTTGGTGACTTTTTGTACCTCATAAAATTACGTTTATTATAAAAAATTCACCAAATTTAAAAAAAAAAGTGTCATTAAATGCACAGTTGCTTTTGTACTTGAAATTGGAAACCGGTAAAAATGACCGCCTTCGGCGTTCTAGTGTTAAATTATTATACAAACAACAAACTGGGATTCAGCCTGACTATTTTGCAAAAACAAAATTAAATTAAAACTCGCAAATAAATTCTTATTGATAATAGTAAAAGTAATACTTTTTTATTGCATTTTTTAAAGTTTTTTAACTTTTTTGTTTGTTTTTTCATTTTTTATATCACACATAGAGGAAAATTTAAAGAAATATTTTGATTATTTTTTAATTACTAAGAAATTGAACAAAACATATGAGAAAAAATCTACAAAAGCTAGAACTAACATTAGTTTGAATTATTTTCTTTTTTTGTAATTACAAATAATTTTACAAGAGTTGGTGGTTTGTTTAAAACTAGGGAAGGTGTTTTTATTATTGGAGGACATTGTAGATTTTCCTATATTGTATTGAACTTAAAGAAAACTACACAAAAATAACAATTATTAAAAAAATACAAAATAGATAACAGAAATTATACAAAAACATAGAAATGATTTTCAACAGAAAAGAAAAATAATTGAATTTGATTAAAATAAGGAATGAAAAAGTGACTGAGAATTAAAAAAGGGGGAGTAGGTAGGTAGGTCCATATAAAAAAATATGCTAACAATTATCACTGCCACACAAACATAGAAAATGGTATTACATTTTTTCATGTTTTTTTTTACATAAAATTATTGAAGAAAAAAAGTAAACAAAACTTATGATTTTATTTTAACACAACAATTTTGAGCAGAAGTTTAAAATAAAAAACGAATCTTTTTCTAAACTTATGTATGTATGTAAGTGTTGTATACAAAAATATCACAATTGAGAAAATAACGCATTTTCCTCCTTTCCGTTTAGTATAGCTTAAAAAAATGAGGAATTTTCTTGGGGTAATGCCTCTACAATTTTTTTGTTCTTGATGACAGCAGTAATGATGAAGTTATAACAAATTTCGAATATGGTAATTTATAAAAAACAAAAACAAAAAAATGAAACTAAAACAATTCAAAGGCAGTCGTTGGCATTCAAACTCAAATGAGAGCGTAAAAATATTGTAATTAATTTTTTAGGTTTTTTAACTTTTTTTGTAGGAGATTTTTTCTTGTTGTAATAATTTTTTTTAATTTTTTTTTTGAGTTTTTCTTTTTGCGCTTTTAATAGTATTTTTTGTTGTTTTGATTTTCCTTTTCATGTTTCAAGTCTTAACTTGTTGTCGTTTGTTGTTGTAAGTTAGTAAGTTGATGAAGAGAGCATTTCAAAACAATTATTAAACATTTCAAATATGCACATCATTTCAATGTTTAATAAATTTGCTAGAAAGACTTATTGTTTTAATATTTTTTTCAATACCATCATCAGTTGCATGGCAACCGGAAGTATATGGATTTTTTGTATTAGTTTTTTACTTTTTTTGGTTTTTAGTTCGTTTGTTTTTTTTTTCTATCCCATATTTTTAATGCATTTGTATGAGGAGAGTAATATGGTTACGTAGACTTTAAAATAGTGAAGTGAACCATCGGTGAATTGAGGAGATCGTAAAGTTGTCGTTTCACTATATTTAAGAAATAATATTCAAGTTACGTTTTTTTTGTTGTTTTGTTTTGTTCCACTGCTGTTGCTCCACATAGCGGTTTATGATGATCCCAGATCAATAATTAGATGACTTTGTGGTATAAATTCAGCTGCCAGAGGATTTAACAATGAATTCGCCACATTACATTCGCTGACAGCCAACGACGATAGGGCTGCACTTAATTCTTCGTTTTTCACCTTTTCCCATTCATTGATCTGTTCTTCTAGCTCATCGTCGAGCATAGCGTCTATACATTCGTTCATAAGTTCTTCGTCTTCCAGGCGTTGTAATTCCTGAAAAAATAGATAAATGTAAATTCTTTGGAACACATTCAAAAATCTGCCGGTGAACTACCAGCATGAGGCGGTACGCATTCAAAATTTATTAAAAACATCGGGATCTTTAAATGTAGACTTTGTAATGGTTGGTAAAAGGTCGAGTTGAATATCAAATTACAGACACTAGGGTAGGAACGTCAAGTTACCGAAAATTAGGATGGACTTTTACATGGCTCTCATGCACACATATGAACCTATATTGAACACTTGTTCGGATAAGGTTTTTTTATTAAGCAGATATCTGATAAGCCAACTTAGAACAACTTTGGAGCTAAAACCTCCTTCTTTATTTTTGGACGTCAAATGGATCTGCATCGAAAATACGCTGCAAAGTTTTCACCTACCTAGAATCTGGAATGCGAAATGTCCAACTCTTAAAACTTAAAAATAGCATAAAATTTATTGGGGAACTATGTAAAAACATGGACCTACTTCAAAATTCTTATGCGATGATATTTTAACTCCACGAGTAACCGGAATGCCAAAGTTAAAATATTTCTTCATATTTGCTAATAAACCATTAAAATGTCGAAAATGGGGCGTAACCCCAAAGCATGGGCCTACTTCAAAAAATTTCTTCAATAATATTTTTCATCTATGCGAAACCGGTATGTCAAAGTCTAAATTACTAAGTCGTATAGGGGAGCGATTATTTTCGTATTTTTTAGCTTATTGCATTGGCTCTGTAGTGCAGTTTTCTTTTATCTTTCCATGGAATCTGTGACCTTTCCTTTTAGCGTGAACTATCGCTTTGCTTGCTTTTATATACCTTTTGAGCTGGGGCATATTAACCATTGACGCAGATCGGCCCATAGATCTCCCGGAGAATTTTTTTCTCAAACAATCCAAGAGCTGCCTCATCTGCTTGCGCAAGTACCCATGCTTCCATATAACAGCACGGGTAGTATCAGCGTCTTGTAGAGTGTGTGTTTGGTCTGGCGGGAGGTGGCCTTGCTTTTTAGTTGCTTACTCAGACCATAGTAGCATCTTTTGACCAACACTCCTCCTACTTCGAAGTGGTAGTTTTCAAGTTCCACAGTTGTCCGAGTCTATTGAACGTCTTGCGCGTTGATACCATCAGCTTGGTCTTTTCGCCATTTACTGCCAGACCCACTTTGGCATACTCCTTCTCAATTTGTTCAAAGGTGGCTGCTACCGCTCGCAATGTTTGACTCATTATATCGATGTCATTGGCGTATGTCGGTAAATGTACTGTTTGGTGTACAGAGTGCTATTTCTTTTCACCTTTGCCTTTTTCAGCAAGATGTTAAAAAGATCACTATGGCGTATGTGATGTCATTGGCGTATGTCGGTAAATGTACTGTTTGGTGTACAGAGTGCTATTTCTTTCCACCTTTGCCTTTTCCAGCAAGATGTTAAAAAGACAAACTGTAACCTTTTTTTTAATCCTCTGTCGATGACAAAGGCCTCCGAGAGCTAAAGTTATCATGCATAGCCGTATTAATTTTGCAGGAATACCAAACGCAGATATGGCTTTAAACACGTCTGAACGAATAGGGCTGTCGAATGACGAATAGGTGGAATGTGTCGATGTGTTTTTTGTGGGTTTTTCTAGGATCTGACGCAGAGTGAAAATCTGACCAATGGTGGATTGGCCAGGCCTGAAGTCACATTGGTATGGTCCAATAATGTCATTAAAAATTGGTTTCTGTCGTTCACACAGCACGCTGGATAGCACTTTATATGCGACGATATGGCACATATCGTCTTGTCTCTTTTTTGTGCACGGCTAATGAGGTTGAGGCAAATTTTGCAAACTTTGCATCAATCCAATGTCATTGGTATCTCCCAATAAAAAAACAGTAAGGGAAGTAGTAAATTCGGACTGGGCCGACTATATGATACCCTTCACCATTTTGGGTATATCCTACATAGTTTCCTAACAGACGTCGCCTTTTCGAAAGAACATTGACATGAAATTGAACGAAAGATATATAAGAACTTTGGTGCGCCATTTCTATTAAATCGGACGAAAATATGTATGGAAGCTATATCTAAATCTGAACCGAAGCTTGTCTTAAATTTCAGGCCTTATCGTCATAATCAGGACCTCAAAGCGTACTTATGCTAAATACTTGAAAACGAATCGCGTCCGGATCCTGAACTATACTATTCCTAATTCTTTTCATTTGCCGGTCGTACAGCATACACTAATACTTACAGTTTTATCGAATTCCTCTTCATTTTCCATCCATAAATATTCGGAAAAATCTGGTTCCAAGTCATCTAAATCTGTATCGGATTCCTCTTCTATGACATAGTGTTCGAATTGATCGGACCAATCACTTGAGGGGATTTTCATCAGCATTTTGAAAACAAAAAAACTGCAACAAAGGAGAGAAAAAATAAATTGTATTCATATTTGAAAAACTCAAACCATTTTATAGATAATTTATATTACAATATATGTATGTATGGGTGTTGTTTGAAATTACGCCGAATTTTTTGTTAATCGAATTTAAGAAGATTTTTTGTTTTCTTTGGATGTCGGTATTTATTTAATTTTTTTTTTTGGGTGTCTTCACTAAACAACCGAACGAACGAGTGCTGCCTGTCTGACTGGTTGGTTGCTTGATATGTTTCTGCGTATTGAAATGAATTTTTGCAAAGCTGTTGTTTGTTTGTATTTTTGGTTTGCCGATAAGGTGAGGTGTTGGTAGGTAGTAGAAAAAAAAAACAAAGCAAATGCAATGAAATGTTTTGAAAAAAATCTATTTATATATTTCTAGTTATGACCTGCGCGTATACACGTAAACAAAAACATAAAAAAAAATACCGACTAGTCATAATCCAGCCAGCCAAGCCATTTGGAGCTACTAGTTGGGAATATAAATCAACCAGAGACGATGGACGGATGGATGGTCGGTTGGTTGGATGACTAATGTTTTGTATAGAAGAAACAACACAAAATGGAATCATGAATAAAACAAGTACATACATGAATAAACAAGTCTACGAAGATAACAAAAAGAAAAAATTCAAAACAAAAACAAAACTGTTTTTTTAATATTGTTTATAAACAAAAAACGAAATTATATAAAAACAATATTCTATCGGTTGTCGTAAACAAATGATAAGAAGAAAATAAGGAATGCATTACATGAGAATGCCAATATACCTATATTTACATACATATATATGTAGTATGCACATATGTTTTATTTATAGTATAGATGGGGTAACAAAAGTATCGTTTAATGGCTCTTGTTTACAATCAATTTCTACAAAATATAGGTCAAGAAACCTAAAATAAAATTCTGTTTGTCAACGTTTTGATATTTACAAAGGGAGATAATGCGCATTAACATTTTCATATTTTCAAAAAAAAAAAAAATATATATATATATATATATATGTTCTGTTCCCTGCAAGAATCTACTAATTCTTTTACTACATTTCCCCGATATCATAAAGGCAACATTGTTATCGTAGTAATAAATTGTAAATTCTTGTAGATTCTGAAACTGACCTATTATGATGACCGAATTATAATTTTCTCATTCATGGTTTATTCTAAAAACCAGTAATGAAAGTAATAAATTCGGACTGGGCCGATTTCGTGCAAATCGAAAGATATTTAGGAACTTTGGCGCACCATTTACCTTAAATCGGACGAAAATATATATGGGAGTTATATCTAAATCTGAAGCGATTTTCACGCAACTTCACGTACGTCATTCTAGGACTAATTCAGTTCGCTATGCCAAATTTCGTGCAAATCGAAAGATATTTAGAGACATTGGCGCACCATTTACCTTAAATCGGACAAAAATATATCTAATCTGAACCGATTTTCACTAAACTTAGCACACATTATTATAGACTCAATTCAGTACGCTATGCCAAATTTCGTGCAAATCGAAAGATATATAAAGACTTTGGCGCACCATTTACCTTAAATCGGACAAAAATATATCTAATCTGAACCGATTTTCACTAAACTTAGCACACATTATTATAGACTCAATTCAGTACGCTATTCCAAATTTCGTACATATCGAAAGATATTTAGGGACTTTGGCGCACCATTTACCTTAAATCGGACGAAAATATATATGAGAGCTATATTTAAACGTGAACCGATTTCTACGAAACTTAGAACACACCATTCTAGACATATTTTAGTACGCTATGCCAAAGTTCGTGCAAATCGAAAGATATTTAGGGACTTTGGTGCATCATTTATCATTTGGTGTCGATGTGTTTTCCGTGGTTATTTTCCAGGATTTGGCATAGAGTGAAAATCTGGTCAATGGTGGATTTGCAAGCAGATGAGACAGCTATGGGGTGTTTGAGAAAAAATTTCTCCGAAACATCTACTGGCCGATCTGCGTCGATGGTGAATGAACCACGAGCATTACAATCTATACGCGTCCATCGACATAGTCAGTCGTATCGAGCTACAGCGACTACTGTGGCTAGGCCATGTTGTGCGAATGAATGAGAATGCCCCAGCTCAAAAGGCATATAAAAGCGCAGATGGGGAAGGCCACGAATTATATGGAAAGATCAAGTAGAAGACAACATCTTGGAACATGGTCTCTCAAATTGGAGGAGATGCGCACAAGACCGACGCGCTTTGATTTTTTTTTAAGATCAGCTTATAGAACAAACTTTCTGTAACAAGCCAGCTATGTAAGGAGGATATGCCAGGTCTGAAGCCCCATTAGTATGGTAGAATAATGTCATTGAACATCGGCTTCAGTCGTTCACACAACTCGCTAGATAGTACTTTATATGCGATGATGTCCTCTAACGTAATCTGACATATGGTGGATATTATAATGAAGTAATTTTATATTATCTTCGGTGTATCTCAAAACCCAAACTATAAAATAAAAAGAAATTGATTTTTCGAATTGTTTTGAAATATTGTATTTCCCTAAAGAATCATGATCTCAATATATATATTTTTTCTTTTGCACTATCATGCGATTGACGAGAACGTTGGCAGATTTTAAATTGGATAATTATAGTATATAGAACCTTACCGGATGAAATAGCAACAATAATTACCTTAAAATTATAATTTATTTAAAACTCAGAAGAAAAACAAAAACACTTTTTAATGTATTACACAAAAAAATCGTAGAAATAAAATATTGTACGTGATATTTATATTGAATGACCAGCATTTACACAGTATTGAGAGAACATGTGTTTTCTGTTTTGAAAATTAAAATAAAAAAATAATACAACAAAATAAAAAATAAAGAAAAAAAAATACATCGGCCAACCCCCTTCATCAACAAAAAGATGGCAAATAAAACAAAAACAACAATAACAGCAGCGAAAAAAGAACAACGTACTTTAGCAACCTTCGTGTATAGGTAGCTGGCTATGAATGAACCCAATGAAGGCAACCAAGGTGACACAAGTGGATTTTTACGTATATTGAACAGTTCGTCAGTCCGACATCAAGTCTGTCAAACAGGCGGATGGTTGAATGTAAACTGAGAACATACACATAATTATTTGCAAATAGACACGTATTTTTAATTGTCTGTATATATTTATGTGATATGATATATCGAAATACATAAGTATATATAAAAAACCAATTAAGAAACAAATCAAGAAACGATAAGCTATGAAAGTCTTAATGAAATAAAAGTAAATATATAAAGAAAAGATAGCAGACCATAACATGATTGATGTTTGATTTGCTTGTTGTTTCTTTTGGTTATGTACCTCCCCTGTGATCAATTTCCTTATAGTAAGATATACGTATGAAGGAGGAATTCAGTTATTCATTATGATAATTGAATATGATTATGGGATTAGGAGAGCGGGTTTGTCCGGCCAATTTAATAAAATAATTGTGGCGGCTTCATCACCCTGATCTCAATTGTGCCAAAACCACTCTAGTATATTTCTGTAGATTCTGCTGTCGATGATGGATTTTCTCGGAGGATTGTATTCCCTCTGTATTATTGAATTGTTTCCCGAATTGCAGTGCGAGTGTGATTACTATTCTATAACGAAAATGTATGCAAATACGTCTTTTACACTCCAAGAACTCGGTAATTCAAATTACAGCCACTTCGGTTGGAAAGTGTAGGAACAGGATGTTTTTATGAAAACTGCATCTAAAAATGGTCCGATATTGATATTTTGTAGGCAAATTTGTACCCCATTAAAACCCAAACATTACATTAGGTTCAATTCGGTTGAAAATTCCTGCTAAGTAACTCAAAATACCAAGGAAAAACGGAAAACTCTGAAAGTGTAGTAGGGTTATTTTCTGGCTGGTGCGCAATCCAATCCAATATTAGGCGATTGAAATGTTCGATTTGAACCAAACTTTGCACAACCCACTTCCTTTACCAAGCCTAGATCAAGTTTGCAGATGGGACTTATTGGTCCACTCCTTCTTTTACGTCCCACACAAATGGACAACATTTTCAATATTTATAAATCCAATTTAAGGCGAATGGAATGCCCGGTTTGAACCACTCTTTGCACAACCTGTTATCTTTTCCAAGTCTAGATCAAGTCCGAAGGTGGGACCCGTCTGCCCTCTCCTATAGTACATCCTACAAAGAGGGTCAATATATTATATCTAATATATTTGCTCAAATTGAAACATATTTTATTAAACATATACCTTATATAAAAGAAAATAACTCCGAAGACCTCATCCGCAAACCATAGGATGAGGGTATATATCTGTCGGCAACACCAACTGACACTTTCTTATCATAAACAGGTCATTTAAGACACCTCAAAAAGATTAAATTAATTGACCGGAAATTATACTTTTGCCAGGAGAATGTTTTACCCTATGGTCGGCTCTACTTGAAGATTTGTTTGAGCCGTATATTTCGTCGCTTCAGTCAGACTCCAAACTACGTGTGGTAAAATATTTAAATATGTCAGAGGGGTAGACTGATAAATTTTTTCAAATGAAAAAGCGTTATGTATATAGATATACTGGCAGGTACTTTAAATAAAAATACCAAAAAAAGAAAATACCAAAAGGTGGACCTATTCCGATATTTCTACAAACCGATTATGTAAACCATAATACAAATTTCAGAAATTTTTAATGGATGATTATACCCTCAGTCCTATGGCTAATGAGGGTGTGTACACATTGACACGGTAGACCCCATATTTCTTTGGGGCATATCCGTTTCAGAAAATTTAGATTTCATCCAAACTTTGCCAATCATATTATTTCTTCCAAACTTAGTTCAAGTTCGAAGATGGGGAATATCGGTCCACTCTGGTATCTCCCACACAGGGGCAAGGCCTAAATGCGGGTTATAGTTATTTATCGAACCTTACGTACTAGTTTTTTATCTCGATATCCTCCGCAGGCGAAATGATTACAACAG